ATCCCTGGTCATATCACCTGATCACCTGACTAGGCTGAGTAAGCAAGATGTTCTAGCAGGTTCCACCACAGAGGTATAAATATAAGGCCTACTCTGCCTGGGGACTGTCTCTTCAGACTTGGTCTCTTAGGATCATCCACAGATACCTATACTGTAGATAGGTCTTAGTCATCAGGTCTACTCCACTTCCTTGTTGCCTGCTTAGACTCTTGGCACTCTTAGGTGAGCAGACTTAGTCAGCCTGTGTTGCCCTAACAGTTGTACTGTGCATTTGTGAAGTGTCTGTTCATCTTTGTGTAGAATGTGGTGAATATCTTCTCATCCTCTGCTGACAGGTTATCTGGATTGTGTGAGCAGCACCCAAGCTGTTCGGAACAGATTACATACCAGGTATCATTCTTGACTCTCCTTGTCCAACTCCTCAATGCCAGAGGTCTCCCCCCCCCTCACCATCATGCATCTGCCATTCTTGCTCCCAATCCTCCTCCTCCTCCTCCTCCTCCTCCTCCTCCTCCTCCTTCTCTTCCTTCTCCTTCTCCTCTTCCTTCTCCTCCTCCTCCTCCTGCCCTGATCTGGGTTCTTCTACTGGTGGAGACATCTGGGACCTGACCCCTTCTCTTTCACTGCCAAACAGCTCATTCCACAGATCCTTTGGATCCTTCACAAGTGGTATTTTGCACCCCAGTCAAGTCATCTCTTCCTTTGATTGTTCCTGCCAGGTGATGATGACCTTTTTTAGGGTCAGTGCTTTGGCCAACTGACAATGCTGCCATCTCTGGGTGCAGGTCAACACTTTGCCACAGTGAGAGCAAGGACCGTTTTGATGTTTCTGATGGACCTCTGCCTTTGCCTTTACCATGGTGAGAGGTAAACAAAATGGTGGGCCCCACTCTCTGGGACCAAAAAAAGTCTGTGATCCATCAATTCAGAATTTCCATATCAGGTTTATTTTTGCCCTTGTTTGTGGTAACCATCTCTTGGTGTGTAACGTGATCTGTGTTTGTGACTGATTTTGCTATCACAGCTTTCTGCTTGAGGAGTATATAATGGGACTGACTCCCTCCTGTCCCTTTCTCCGCATCCTATGCCCAGGATCTCAGACCTCACCAACACCCCTTCCCTCAGCATCTTCCTTGAACAGGCCCCCTCACCTGAGAGCTCTGACAGCCCTCCCAGCGACTCCCTCTTCCTCAACTTCTTCAACAGCTGCTTTCCACCACTGTGCTCCCACCCCCTCCACACCTCTCCAAGGATGGCTGGTACACATCATATGTGCAACTGCAATGAGTCCGATGCCATGATTACCAATGTTCTGCTCCCAACAAACACTTCATCAAAGAAGAAAGTTGGCGCCAAGGGGAAAGGGAACAAGGAGAACCCACCTGCCCCATTTTGTGATGCCACCTCTGTTGCACTTGCCCTCTCCACTGAGGATGACCACAATGAAGACCCTGTTGAAACCCTGGTAGAGGCCAAGAAGCATGCCCTGTTGGTATCTGATATCAAAGAAGATGAGCCCCCACCCAAGCTCACCAAGAAGCAGCCTCTCAAGCAGCTCAACAATGGCCTTGACATGCAGAAGTTCCTCTCCAAGAAGAAGTTGAAGAAGGAGGAACTTATTGAGGTGAATGCAAGGATTGTAGAGCTTGGGGCAATCATTATATCTATGAAAGGTATGTCTTGAACACTGCACATGTACATACATATCTGATGTTATTGAAGTGGATAAGGAGAAACTTCAAAAGGCACTCATAGCCAAGCTGGCAAAGCACAAGGCACCTCTGCCTCCAAAGGTCATTGCTAAGCCCTCAGGGCAACCTGGTCATAAGGGGCCAGGTGGATATTGCCTGCAGGAAGAGATGGGGCTCTCTGGGAATGAGAGTGAGTACAATTCTATTTGGGTAAGCCACTCTTACCTGCTATTATAGCTACCTACTAACCCAAGCTCTTCTACAGCAACAATTCCAACAGATCAGCAACAAGTACAATGTCTGTGGAGACAAAACCATCACCAAACTCCACCCAGAGGTCATGGTGAAGATATACAAGGAAGTGAGTACTGTCCTCCATGCTAAATGACAACATGTATTTACCTTGAAGTAGGCTCAACACAAGATTCCGTACCTGGCATGGTTCAAGAATGATTGGGCCACCAGGGCCATTGTCAAGTCATACACAAGGAATGCCAAGCAATTCTTGGTCTTGAAAAAAGCTTATGATGAACATCACCTGTCTGGGTCAGGAACCCCGGGCCCAGCTGTAGCCCCTTGGCCTTTGGTGAGAAGCATTCTATCCAATAAGGCAATGGAGCAAGCTACAGTACAGCCTGATGATGATGATGTCAACAGTGACAAGGAGCTTGCAGATCTTTTGGCTGAAAGTGGCTCTGACAATGAGGATTCCAATTAAGTAAGTACCCAATTGTAGATTTGCATCGTGTACATATTAACATGATTTTCAGTCTCTTGTAAGATATTTTGAGCCTGCTTGGCCTGGTTTTTGTTGTCATGGGGACTAGATACCACTGCTTTATCCATGCTTCAAGCACCACATTCCAGCTCTTGTATGATTTTCAGCAAAGAATGACATTTGATTGCTTTTGGTAAGGAATTACATGTGGGTACTGTGACAGTTCGGTTCAGGGCTTGTAAATAAGTTAATAAAATAGATATGGTTTTCAGCTCCACACAAGGTAATTCACTGCCCTAGGTCATGATTGGCATGACCCGGGGGACTCCTGAAGGGACTTAACTTCAGTGCCAATGCACAGTGCAGTGAGTTGACTGACACAGTTTCCCGGGTTGTAATGGTTACAGATGTCGATCGCCATGTTCAAACACTCGATGCGGTGAATCAAAATGATCTAAATAAAAGGTTGCGGAATCATGGAAGGCAAGGAACGACTCTTTTCACCTCTCATCCCGCTCACTCGTTCAACTACCAACAACGGTGCTGGTCACCTCTCATCCCGCTAACTCGTTCGACTACCAACAACAGTGCTGGTCACTTGATCTATCTGCTCCACTTACGCCTTCATAAAATGTTGTTCTATCAACCCTTCCTCCTTGCCGCACTGGTCGCAACCACGTTCGCAGCACCCCTGCATTCAACCCGCTCTCTGAATGATGATTCCACCCGGTCCGAATTAACGGAACGGGCTGTCGTCACATCCGAAACAGCATCAAACAGCCTCAATGGCAACATTCCCCGGTATTCCGTCCCTCGCGACTTGGCTGAAGAAGACGAACTGGCCCTGTTCGATGCACGGGATTTCACTGATGAGGACGCCATTGAATGGAATGTCGCTGCCCGTGACGTTGATGTCGAGGAGCATGAGCTTGTCGAGCGGAGCAAGGGGGTGGGACATGCCCTCGGTCTTCGCTCCCTCGATGAAGAGGAGGGTGAGGGTTGGACAATCGCAGCCCGCGACCTGAACTTCGCCGACGAAGACGAGGAACTGGCCGAGCGGAGCAGGGTCAGAGAAAGAATCAAACATTTCTTCCAGAAAGTCGGGCACGTCATTGGTCTGTAGCAGTATATCTGGATTGTGTATTGTAGTAGGGGCACGCTGACGCGATGCCCTTGATGGATTGTGCTGGTCTGTGCTTGCGTTTCATATGATGAATGCTCAAACTTGTGATACCGGAAAACCGAATCAGGAGTGCAGTGGAAACTCCTCGCTTCGGGTTGCAATCATTCGCAGCGTCGTTTTAAGCTCGCTTGGTGTTCCGCGTTCATCCAGCCCATCGATCACATTGACACTCGTTTTACGCTGAGCATCGCTAAAAAGGAATCTTTTGAAGTACAGCGCGAGGAAGTTTGTTCCGCAATAGCTAATGTTCTCGTCTACTGATCTGAACAGTGCAGCCTTGAGTTCGCGACGGGTCTTGTACGCGTCTCGGAGAAATATTGCGGAAGAGACTTGCCAGCTTGCGTGTGGCTGCCTCGTTCCTGTTGAATCTGAACGTGGATCCCAGCTAGCTGCTCGTACTCGTACAGAATTAACCCGCCCGCGGTCATGTATGCAATCGTTGATTTGCCTGGACCAGAGCCCTGTGAACAGTACGTCGGTGTGACATGCGACGGGACCGGCCCATCGTTATCGAGTTCAACAGTTCCGCACGAGCACCAATGGGCAGCACTTTCTGATCCCATTGATTCCCGTCCTTCTTAGCATTTGGATTTCAGTTAGGTAATTACCAATGAGCACAACAAACAGCATATGCGCACCACTATCCTCAGATTTGGTCCATATACGGATCGCTGTGATAGGTAAGGCTGACTAGATTGATGATAATCTGGAGTGAGTCGACCAAGCTTTTGCTGAGACTGATCGATCTTGTGCTTCAGTGTCCCTGGATCCATCAACCCAAAACTAACGACGCATCAGCATGATTCGAAATAACAAAGAACGAGGCGCACAGTAGGTATTCTGCTTGGCATATACGTGAATAAAGTAGGTATAGTCAAGTATCTGACGCGCAAGAAGCGACAGCGTATTATCACCGGACTAATCCGGGACCAGGATAATATCGCATGTAGCCTTCTTGCTCTATGGAGGAGCATATACGCCGATTCAGTTTTTATACCAGCTTGGTGATCGAGGTCGGATGCGTCTCTCAACAAGTCGCGCAAATATCATCAATAGTTCGCTCAGAATCTTCAGATAGTATCTGACCTTGTGCGCGCTCCATTGGCTATTATAGCAAACGGATACATCTGCTGTCTTCCTGAACCTCATCCCATGGCTTCAAGTACCTCAACGTGTTGTTCAACTTCGTCAATAATGTTTGCGCCTGGGTTAGTCGCCTCTCACACCCGTTCTGTCATCGGCATAACACTACCATCCATGGAGATGTCGTCACGTTCGAAGGGAACTTTGATAGTGACACCTGTCCTGACTTTCGACTACAAAGGAAGAATAAGTGGAACATCTAGATCAACGCGTTCAGTCCAGTTCTCCAATAATCCCATCGGCCCGATATGTACTTGTTGTGAACACTATCCTGCCACACAGCAGGAGCTCATCCATGCCCAGGTTGGTATGCGATCAGGCGTGACGTGGAGTGTCAGCGCTGACCTCGAGCGGGAGTCCCATGGCGTCGTCTAGGAAGCCGTTCGTAGTCATGCTGAGATGACTGCAACTCAAATCGAAGAAGAATACTTTCAGCAGCCAGAGATTTGCCGAGGCATTGCACGCCTCCAAGGGAAGAACCAGTCAATAATGATGATACCAGACCCAGAAATGTTGGAAGAACGATCTTGGGGAGACTTTTTGGAAGAGGAGCAAGGAGAAAAACAGCCAAAAGGATCAGATAGACTGAACTGGGGCCTCGGGGTCGACATTTCAGACGGTTGGATAGTCGCATCACTCAACCACGGAAGCAGTACCTAACAATTCCATGTGACTCGCTGATCACAGCCACTCAACCCCTGGTTTCTTCTTCAGCGCTTTTCTGGAGATTTTGCTGAAACGCTCGAATCCAGTCATTCACTCCTGGTCGCCTAGTTCTTTGTGTGCAGAAGCAAGCACGTTACTAACATAATACCGCCAATCAAGGTTCACCACGGCATCTGTCATAGGGGGAACAGCGCTTCCTCCTCGCCATCGGACTGGACCTGTTGGATTGTTATATCCCAGTCAGGAATCTACATATCCCTGACTCCAGAAGGCCCAGGAGTATCATTGGCGCGTTGCTTCACCGTTTCGCTCCTGGTTCCGATCAGGTCGGAAGACCAACTGTTGTGTGCGGAATGCGCGAAGTTGTGCTTTCACATATCTGTCGTCTACAGTGAGCAAGTAACCAGTTGAATATGGTTACGCTCGCTTCTTGGCATCACGTCCAGTCACTGATGGAAATCACTTCAATTGCAGGAGAAGCAGGGAGGGAAAGCTCGCATCACCGGTCTGTGTCTCTTCCGAAGGATCGCGATAAGCCATCCCAAAGCATGGTATCGTCGCTTTGAACGCCGCCCCACGGATCGCAGGCCACCGAGACAACATCGCCCCATTTAACAACGTCGACGGAAGTCTTCCGAACCTGGATGCTTCCTGTCCAAGGCTGGCAGTGTATATATCTCTCTCCATGGAGTTTGGACTCACAGGCCGCCGCGAGCTCGGCAATATACATCTGTGCTGTTTTTAGATCAACGCCCCCTCAATCTCGCCTCCTCCTATCGATCCCTGGTGCTGGTCACTTGGTCTCTTCCCGTCGCTAACCCACACAAACTTAATTTGTCGGTGCCGGTCACCCTCCACTCGCTTCATAATCTCTTCGACCCCACACTAGTTCTGCACATCCTCAAGCACCATCAAGATGCCCAGCACCACCTCCGTCGTCATTCTTTCTCTACTCGCTGCCACAACCTTCGCCGCCCCTGCACCTACCGCCCATGCCACACGCTCGATCCCCCAGCCAGATGATAGCCTAGACGTCTATGCCCGAGATATCGCACAGAGCAACGAAGGAGAGCTCGAGGAGCGATTCTTTTTCCTTGCTCCACTCATCGCTCAAGGCGTTCGGGCCGGCGTTCAAGCAGGTATCCGCGCAGGTGTCAGGAAGGGTGCACAAGCCGCCGCCAAGAAGGGCGCATCGCACGCTGCCAAAAACGCCAATAACAACAATAATAACAACAAGAAACACAAGCGTGATCTTGAGGAGGACGATCTCGACCTCTACATGCGCCAGCTAATCGAGGCCGATAGTGAGCTGGACGAGCGTTTCTTCTTCCTCGCTCCACTCATCGCCCAAGGTGTTCGTGCAGGCGTACAAGCCGGCATCCGTGCTGGTGTTAAGAAAGGTGCAGAAGCCGCTGCTAAGAAAGGTGCATCACACGCTGCCAAGAATGCGAACAATAACAACAATAACAATAACAACAAGAAACACAAACGCGATCTTGGGGATCAGGATGACTACGAGATCGCAGTACGCAGCATGCCGGAGGACGAGCTGGAGTGGGACGTGGCCGCACGTGAAGTTCACGACCTGGACATGCTCGACTAATCCACGTATTGTGAACACAGACGGAGCAATTAGAATCGGACTTTTAGGGTAGCATAGAGTTTTCGTCCTTCGCTGTTGTCGTCTCACTGCTTACGGTGGACAATTGTAGTATGATAACTTCTACAATACATACGTGACCCTTTGGAGAGATGCTATGAGTTGTGGTCAAATCATGCACACAGAGGAACACCGTATGTAGACAACGATAGCAGACAGGACCGGTCACCCATGTTCGGTCATTTTGTAAATGCAGCACTTTAAACTATTTGATTTCATCTTTCACTTTGAACCAGTTTCTACAAGGACTGGATACACCGACCGCGATATCTAGACACATACGTCACAAGGACCTAAGATAGCAACCAATTAGGTCGACCTAAGTATAAATTTCTGCATTGAATGGCAAACATCAATGATCGTACACGCTTCCCAGACAAGCGCATCAACCGATCGTCGAGTTGTCCACTTGCGTCCCTGTCATATAAGTACGCGTTCTTGCTGAACCAAGGGATGGTTTGAGGTGGAGGCTGGGTATGGGGAGGATACCCGTCCAGCGTCTGATTTCCTGCGCGGGGTGTCTGGGGGAACGCGCCCCAGTCTTGCCGGGATAAGAGCGACCCTTCAAACGTACTGTTTACTGAAGGGGAGCGCGGAGACCCACACCGATTTCCAAGTGTTGCGTCCTCGAGATAAGAAGGCACCTGGTCCCGTTGTACTTCAATGGCCAGATCCTCGACAATAAGGCTTGGTTCTGGGTTGTGGCGGAGAGCGTTGTGAAGCTCCAAGTTCAATGCTAAGCGTGTGATGTTATTGCCATGTCCAAAAATGAGACTTGATGCTAAGTGTTCTGGTCCTGCGACACCATCTAGATTGAGTTCTATGAGGTTCCAGCGCTTGTCAAGAACGGCAGCGAGGATACTGGGAGTCTGATGACCAGGGCTCTTTGACTGGGTCACTGCGATCATAGGCACGCCAGTTATGTGGTTGGTCGTCCACGTGAAGGCCCAATCAAGGTTAGACGAATTCTCGAGATGGAGCGCTCGGAGATTCGGGCAGTCCAGTTGATGTAGCAGGATGGCGTCTGCGGCATCGAACAGAGGACTCAAGACCAGTTTTCGCAGGCGAGGAAGGGGTATAGAGCGAACGGGATGTTCTGATGGCCGAAGTGTGAAATTCTGCGAACGGTTCCGCAAGACAAGCTCTTCAAGATCGATCATGTCGTTGAGCAAAGACCAGAAGTTGAGTGTTTGATCCATATTACACTCGTTTAAGCTCAGGCGGCGTAAGGTTGGGACAAGCATAGCCGGGGTGATGGCAATTGATGCCAAGCTGAGGTTGTGCAATGCAGTAGAGGACGCAATGATTCTAGTGAAGAGCGGTTCGCATCGACCACGCAGATAGGTAGACTGAAACCAACCAGGAGCAAACACCAGCGAGCGCAGGTTTGAAAAACGGAGGATACCGGTACGGTCGATTATATCCAAGAGCTGTCGAGAAACGGGACCGAAACGGAGCGTGTGTGTTTTGACTTGTACGCTAGAAGCCAGCGCCGACTGGAGATAATGTTCCATGTACGCCAGGTCTTCCTTCATCTGAAGTTTAACGGTTTGGCTGTCATGATGTTGGTACTCGGACGTCGTTCTCCCCTCCCAAGTAAGAAGCACCTCCAATTCCGGACAAATGCGAGCGCGCTCAAAGTTGAGGGCAGTCATTGCCAAGTAGGTTTGACCTCGACCGGTGGGGTGATACGAGAGCCTCTTCCAAAATAGCGGGTTTGAGATGACTTCATTTCTCCAGTGTCGACATACGTGGGTTAATCGAGTTCGTTGGGTGTATTCGGGATAGTCGTCCTCTATGTCCAGCTCGAAAATCCGTGTGAGGAGCTCGGAGGGCAGCTGGCTGATCACGTCTCGCAGAGGTGGACAATAGTACGGCTCTGGTTCGGGGCCTTCATAGACCGAAAACACCCAAGAACTGGAGCGGGATAGAGGCGAATACATATGACTGAGGCCGTGACTGTTGTCCTGCTCTGTTTCGCTCTGCCCGGTCGGTCCATTCTCGCCATGGGAACCGGCAACAGGAGCGGATTGTGGTCTCGCGATATCCATGCCGAAGCGAGCGACGAATGGGCAGATTTGTTGGGAAACGAATCACGAAGAGCGTTATACCTGGCAAGTCGCGTGAAGAACGAGTTAGGGGAATCCCGCTGAATCGCCGCATGATGACTCGTCACGATAACGATATGGTCACGTGTGATCGTTGTCAGCTGAAAGTACACATGGCAGAATGGCCAGCAACAACATTTCTGCTCAAACGTGACAAATGTGCATCGAACTGATACCGCTCAGTGGTCATGCATCCGCATGGCAAAGTACTTCCCAGCGGCCGATATCACCGACATCGGAGCGCATTCTCCAAAGTGGAAGTCTGCACATTACTCCGTACCGTCTTTGCGCTTCTCTTTCCGCACCGCTCGTTTCCTAGCCTCGAGAACCCTCTCTGCCTCCAGCTCGCTTCCTGCTTGCTCGGCCCATCGCATGATGCCTCCTTGGGCGAACGCGTCCGTGAGACGCTGTTGCGAGTCGACGACGTTCCATTCCCGCGCTTCCTCTTCTACATTCAGAGGATGTGATGATGAGGATGCGAAGGTTGACGAGGGGGAGTGGGAGGAAACGCTAGAAGGATTGTCCCTCGGCGTAATGGCTCGATGTATGCGCTCGCTTAGCCCGGGAAACAAGGAACGCAGCATTAACCGGGTCTTTCCTGTAAAACCTTCCATCTAGACAGAAGCATCAGTCAGCACCATACATCAACAAACTAAATCCCCATCAGCAGGAATACGCACGTCGTCAACCCCTATCGATTTCTTGACAGCCCATACTACTCCTCCCGCTACTCCCACAACGGTTAGGGTCGCAAGGCCAAACGCCCCGAGAGCGCCAATGGGTGAGATTGCAAGGGGGTTCGCTGGAGCGGTCTTTGGTGGGCGGCGTGGAAGGGATAGCCTTGGTGCGCCAGTAGAGGAAGTAGAGATACGAGATGGAAGTACAAGAGGCTGAGGGCCGGTCGCGTTCGTCCCTTGTAATAGCACACGCGTCTCGGTAGGGCTGGGGGGCTCTTCCACTGTCGAGGTTTCAGACTTTGATCGCTGGTCCTCTTCCAGCATTCGCACTTGCGCTCTGCGCGCATACACTAGAGCACCAGCGATGCCAGTGACAAAGAACACCTGTTTCTCCAATCAGCTCGTTACAATCACTTGAACGTTGTGGCACAAAAGGACGCACAGCCGAGGCCCCGAACAACACTTTAGCTAAAGAGCGTTTCCGAGCCCTTTCCTCCGACGCAGCATGTTCTTTAGTTGTGTCTATAATACCGGATGTGAGCGAAGAATATGAAGTGGATGAACGGTCATGATGCTCGGTCATGCAGGTCGATGCGGGAGGTTGGTTGGTTGAATTCACGGCACGAAGACCCTGGGAATGATGATGTATTTTCTCCGAAAGATTCTCCGATTTCGCCCAACATTCAAATGCTCATAAATCATTAATTGATAAAGTTACGTGCATGTCTAACCTAGAGCATCGCCCTCGATCTTGCTTCTGTCATCTAAAAGACGTTCACTTTGAGCACCTCTCTTCCTTCCCTCTCCACGAGGGCCAACACCCTCTCCCCATCTATAAACAAGCCCTGGAACATTCCCGGGACCTCGAGATGCCGCATGATCATCGGCAGACCTGAACAGACACGTTCAACGAAAACATTTTGAGGGAGGATGGGGTACGGGCGTGTGACCAGATGCTCAAAGGCGGGCAGGCGGGGAGTCGCCGATGCAGAGGTAGGTGAAAGAGACTCGGAGATGATCTGTAGTTCGTCGGGCCCAGGACCGGCAGAGCCCGGACCCGCCGCGTCTCCAGGTACCACCGCTTGATGATCGTCGTCCTCGTCCTCGTCCTCGTCTGACAACAAGTCGTCCTCTTCTTTCTCTTCTTCATCCACATCCTCCATATCGTCGTCGTCTTCGTCATCGTCATCGTCATCGTTTCCGTCCTCGTCCTCGTCCTCATGAAGCTGGCCCCATTCGCTGAGCACTTCATCCATCTCCATTCCACCTCCATCCAGCTGCGAGTGAGATCCAGACTCTGCAGTCTCCGCGTTCAACCCCGTTACGCCCCGCTCCGCAACACTCTCTCCGTTCGCACCGCTTGCCTCCGCTCTTGCCCTCGCAGCCTGTTCACTTCGTGCCCTTTCTCGCCTCTTTTCCCTCTCCGCCATGATCCATTTTGTCATGCGCGGATTGAAGTCCATTACCGTTACCCTCGTCCATACCAGGTCCGCGGTGATGAGTGTTCCTGCGGGCGGTGGGTGAGGTAGAAATTCGCGTGAGGTGACGTATCGATATCCATGAGTGTAGACCACGTAGCCTCGTGGGTTGTGGGTGTGGTCAAGCACCCGCGTGCGATCCCACCATGAAGCCCAAGGGATCATCAATACGTCGGAGGAGTCGAGAGCCGGACGAGGAGCTGTAGGATCAGTGCTGGAGTGCGAGGTCCATGACTCGGGTGAGTGGATTGCGGAAAGCAGAGTGGGCAGGAGGACAAATATGGTAAGTTCGTCCGTCGAGTCCACTGGCGCTTCTAGGATGATCGTGATCACCACGAGACGGGATTCAGGAGCAGGGAAGAAGAGCTCGTTCTCCTGCTCTGGCTCTTGCTGCTGCTCCTCTAGCCCGTCTGTGACCTCGCCCTGTTGCCCCGCTTTCTCTCTGCGTGCAGTGTCCCCATCTGCTATGCCATCAAGAGCTTCTGATAGCTCTCTCTGCCTCTCCCTCGCCCAAGGTTGATCTCCAGATGTTGCAGTCCTCGCCCCTTCCGGCCTCTTGCGCAGTCCAAACGGTCCTGGTCCTGGCGTCGGGTCTGAGCGGGTGATGATACTGTGTATGCAGGCAGTGGAGGGCCGCAAAGCGGGGAGGAGGAAGCGAGCACGGATCTTGAGCGACCGTGCAGATGGTGGGGGGGGAACTGGAAGGGCAGTGGAGGAAGTGAAGTCCCACGGGCGGGGTAGGGATGACTGGTCTGGAGAGGCGGAGGTCGGCGTGGGGGAAGTCGCACCGGAAGTACAGGAGGACGGGGCTGAGCGTGGGATAGTACACACCTCGAGCGCACCTGTCAGTGTTCCCGCGACTACCACCTCGTTGTCTCCCAGAAGGGAGAACGTCTTGGGCGGATCCGCGTTGTCACCGGTATGCACGGCTCTCTTCTCTCCCGTTCGCCAGTCCCATAGCACAAGTTCTTCCCCCACTTCACCTTTCGTGTATTCCGGCATGCCCTCTCTAGGAAGGAAGAGGCAACCCATTGTACTGCCGCAGATTTGGATGAGATACGAGAACGGGGTGTGGCGTACAGGCGAAGGACGGGCGTCGCGGCACTCGTGTGTCAAAATAGGCTGCTTCGCGGCGGGATGGGGAACCCCGGATGAGAGAGTCAGAATATGGAGGCGAAAGTGTGGAAGATTCTGGGCTAGAGCACGTTTCTCCACAAGGATGACGAGGTCGTCGACCGGTGCGAGTGTAAAGTCGCTCCAGGACACTCCGGCCGGCCCGCGCCATATCCAGTCCCTGGCTGGCTGCTGGTCCACCGCGCTCGGCAACTGCAGAACGTGTAGAGCAGAGGTGCCTCGGTGGAATGGAGAAGCAGTGATTCCCCGTATGAAGAGTGAGCCATAGAGCTCGTAAGTCGTTCCGGTATTGATGGGGAGTGAGTAGGAATGAGAGGAGGCTGGAATGAGGGTGCGCCATCGTTTAGTATGGGCGCGCAAGCGGTTGAGTCGCTCTCTAAAGGGAAGGTGCGAGATGGGATTCTCAGATAGACCGTGTAACGCGAGTTCGAGGCGATATTGCAGACGTATCGACAACTTGATAATGTTGTATAATGGCTTGCAAGTCTGAAAAGCAACATGTTGAATTCAAATTGCGTAAGATATCTTGGATGGTAACGGGCGCACCTGTTGACATGTTACTAGACCAGACAACTCCAAATCCTGAAGAATATCAACCAATATTTCCTGTGGAAGCTCAAGCAATTTCATCGTGGTGTTGGTAGAGTACAGAAATGAATGTATGACTGACTTTACGGCCTTCCTTCGAAACGGATAAGAGCGCTGGCACTGCCACTAACGGCCCTTTCGGCGCTTCCAAAGAGCGGAAACCGACTTCACAAGTAATATGGTGTGCATCTGATCAGATGAATATTATAGCTACCCGACCTCATGCTGATGGGTGATATTCAGTGATGCGGTATAGCACAGAGACGTCCACACAACCATTGCCCAATTAGGTAAGCGGAGCGGAAGCAAATGCGCTATAGAGTGCAGCTAGAACTACATCCTACCTTCTCTCTTACCCTCCATCACTTTATGATCTCTAGCTGGTAGGATGTGTGCTATATGCATGAGTCTCAGCTGTCAGTAATCATATCTGTTGTTTGGTCACCATTCTACTATACCTATACTGAGGACGGGCTTTGCCTAGCTTCGGTATAGAGAGCAAGTGCAATGTCTCAGCCTTGCTTAGTCAGCAACCCATTAGGGTCCTGACGTTGACTCTCCCTTATTGGGATACGCTCATTCCTACACACTCGCTACACTTCTACACCTCATACGGCATTCTATCCAGCATACTGGCAAACCCCACTTTCACTTATACGTACCCTGCATCATTCAGCACCATGGGGGTATTTGAAGGAAGTTCATTGTTGCTACATGACTGCATTATAAACCAACCGGACTGTCCTACTGGTGGGATGGATGGAATTCCGTTTTGCCGTGAGCAGTCATCTCAGCCTTTTCCCACCTTCTCTTACCATCTCTATACCGACGAGCATAGGTGACACCTTTTCCCCAAAACACGTTTCTAATAACGACCTTTTCGAGACTTTCGCACTCAGTCTGAAGAATAGCGAGGAACGTGCGATGATCTTCTTCGAGGTTGACGGACATGGGGTGGAAGTGAAGGAAGAGAGAGAGAAGATGAGGCACATGCTTGAAGACAGAGACTGCGAAGGGGCTAAGAAGCTTGTCCCAAACCTATCCAACCAAAATGAGCGCTATTTCTGCTGGCGGGAAAAGGCGGGCTTACTTGTTCATCTCTAATTTTGGTGACCAAGGATTCAATATGCAAATCCACGAGAAAGGGCACGGACTCCAAGATTGATGGAAGCTGATCGATCATGTCGACGAAAGAAGTGTTACAAAGGTGCAAAGACAACAACGATCCCAGCGAACAGCCGATGCTTTGGGCCAGACCATGGGCTGAAATGTTGTTCACGAAGGTTGTGATCTTTAGTCGTCGTATTGCCCGTCCAGGAAGTAACCGTATAGCCAGCTCAAAAGGCGCGGCGAGAGATTTCAGGATAGGTAGCGTCGATGATGTTAGGTGTTGGTCCATGAGCGCCGTCAAGGCCTGCACATCTCCTTGTCGGTTTTTGTTGTATACCTCCAGTGCTTACACTCTAGACTGTTGATTCAGAAGGTGAAACGTATCGTCATCTAGCGCGGCTGTCATCTTCAAGTGATGAAGCCGACATGGGAGATCTCGTATGAGTCCACAACCAATTTGCGGAACAGTTGTGGAGAAATTCAACTCGAGCAGGTTGGACATTCCATTCATATTCCGGCGGATTAATCGTAAAAATCCGGGGAGACAGCCTCCAAAGAATCCAGATAAACTGGGCAGGGGTCGGATCTTCCGGACATGGAGCTGGAGGTGCGGATTATGCGACAATGTTAACTGGGGGCGAATGACATTGAGAGCCGTCAGGTCGCGCAGGGGATCATACCAATCGATGTTGTTGTAGATGTAGGACCGGGCAATCTGCGCAAAGGCATGGTTGACTAGGCAGAGGGCTAGCATTGTCCTAATGTCCTTCTCTTGTTGGATGAAATCAAAGATTAGCAGTAGAATATCTGTTGGGAGTGAGGTGGCCATGGTTGCAGTGACGAGAGAAGAGGATCCCTTCACAACACGTCGCTGATTTTGTAAAGACGGAAGTAAACATAACACCGATTTTTCTGTCGATCGTGGGTTCGCCGAGAGTAATCTTATGTACAGCTTGTTCACGTTCAATGGGGAATCTTCCCTCCCCGAGGCTGGCTCAGTCATAAATTAAGTGAAGCACGTAATAATGTGTTAAAATACAAAACAAGGCCTTCTGATTTGTTCAGCGGGTCAAGCGTCCTACCTGACCTGCTCAATTAGCACCACTGCTCGCCGAAATCTTCCTTGGTCATCTCCCACTGCATTCATGCTCGTCAACGCAGGTGATACTTTCTCACCGAATCTCACTCTTATCTCGACTGTATGGAGATCCTTGTAGAAATTTGCAAGGTCCGCGAGAAAGGAAAGGTGACCATCTTCTGTCAAGCTTCTTGGTATGGACATCCAACGTTACGCCAGCTGGCTGAATTAATGTGGACATTACAGGTCTTTTGTTCACCCATGAAAATAAGCTGTCTTGAGCTAGCAGTGCGTTGAGGACATAGTAGCGTCCTAGGTATGAAATGCGTAAAATTGAGCCGGTCCGTGCGATATTACGTCAACTTTATCCCACCGACTCCCATGCTCGTCATACCGCCTAATATAAGTGATGCCTTCACCTCGCATCTCGCTGGATAGAACGATTTTCTTGAGATGCCTGCATACCGCTTGAAGGCTCGAAAGGAATAGATAAAGATCTTCCTTTAGAATATCGGGCAGTATAGTAAACCGGATGACGAGACGGACAAGTTGAGGCAGCTTGTTGAAGACAGAGACGCCAAGTGGACTGTTGAGTTGCTCCCACATCTATTCGGACATGAGGATGGTTCGGTTGAAGTGTCAAATAGACCAACTTGATGGTCTCTCACTTCCAGTAAGTCGAGACGTAGATCCAACAGAAATGGTGACGACCCAAGAATGATTGGAAGTTGCTGATTCAACTTGATGAAGGAAGACATAAAGGTGTAGATGCAGCAATGGTTTTGGTAGGTCGCCAATACACTGAGCTAGATGCGAAGCTGAACCGTCCTTCAGAACATTTGGGATTGAGAGTCGATAGATTGGGCGACCGGGAAGCAAGCGTATAGCTCACTCGAAAGGTACGGTACTATCTTCAAGAATAGGTAGTGTTGCTGGTGTGATGTACCTGTCCATGAGCGGTGCCAGGGTTTTCAAGGTTTGCTTCTGGAGCCATGTCGCACACCGAGAGTCTTTGCAGGTCAGATTGATGGTTAAGAAGACGAAGCATATCTTCGTCCAAGGTTGCAAAGATCGTTAGAACACGAAGTCGAGTTGAAAGTGCGCAGATCGGTCCACAACGAATGTACCGTGTGGTGCCGGAGAAGTTCAACTCGAGTAGATTCGACATCCCACGCAGATTCCGTGCGATTAGGCGTAAGGCGCTGGGAAGTAGACACAACCCAGCATCTTGGACGAAGATGCGAGGCAGGGGTTGGATCTTCTTCACTTTAAGGCGTAGTTGGGGATTCCGTGACAGGGTCATATGCAGACGGGCGAACCGCTTGTGAGGCTTTGCATAGCGGTCGTCGTACCAGCGATTCACATCTCTGTAGATGTAGGATTGTGCAAGCTCTGAAAAAGCATGATTGACTAAGCCAAGAGCCAGTAAAGTCTTGATATCTTGCTCTTGGTATATCAAATCCAAGACTAGCAGTAGAACATCTGTTGGCAAGCAGGCGGTCATGGTCGTCCACAACGAAGGGACCACTCCGCGGTTGACCATCATACGGAAACAAACTAAACAGTGAAACGAAAATGGTATTTACGGTAAGAAGCCTTCACGCCCAAAGTAAATAAAGAGACAATATTTATAACGGCTACCAGTCATAGCCCTCAACGCGGAAGACGTCGCCATACTGCAGGTAACCTTGCATGATGCCGAAGATACCTTCCGGCAGACCCATGCTGATAATTGTGTTTGCCAGCTTGGCCATGCCGTATTGTGATGCCACCTTATAGAGGTATCGAGCGACATCTGTGGGATACTCAATGACGGGTTAGCAAGATGCAGGATATTTGCATGCCGGGAACATACAGTCATTTCCATATACCACCTTTGCTGGAAGGCGCTCAAGCGGATGGCCGCATTTAAGCTTTTCTGCAGTTCGCCTTCCTCCGCGTACATCTCCAGGAGCTTGCTCCATGCCCGTGCGGAGAACTTGGCGTCAAGACAACGCTGATACGCCTCTTTGGCTTCTTCTTTATGGTGCAGACGGAGCCCGAGATCGCCAAGAATCTCCCACTCAGTGCCGGTCTTGCGGTAGGCAACGTGCTGCGTTTTGAAATGCGCTACTTCGGCACGGAAGATGGTCCAGATCCGAAGATCCTGAACTTGTAGATCAACACATGGCCTGCTAGTCGAAGAACAGCACGCACCTCATATAACACCATAAACAAGTTGTCCAACCATCTCTCGCACAACCTCTTATTGGTAAACGAGAAGCCCTTAGCCACCTCCCCACCATGTACGCTCTTCCTTTTGCCTTTCTCTTTCTTCTGGTGTTCGGCGGTCGCTTTGGGCTTCTCAGGTCCGCTGCCGTTGGGTGCGCCATTCGCTTTGGTTGCCTCGGCTTCAGATTCGGCAGCGTGGATCTTGATGGTTGGGATGTCGCCGTTTCCTGCCTGATCGCCTTCCTTCGTAGGAACCTCGTCACTTTCGGGCGGTGGCTCCTGAGGGCTAAGCTTCTCTCCGTTCGGGCCCACCTCCTGCTTGCTCTTCAAAGCAGTGGTGCTTGCGTTATCATCTGCGCCTTCCTCTTCACCTTCCTCATCTTCGTCCTCTGCCTCAGCACCCGCGTGCTCCTCACTATCTCCCATCGCCTTGACGTTCCGATACTCCTCCTCCATGACGAATACGCCGCTTCGAGTCTTGAGGAGTTCATCCCAGCCTATCTGCCCCACCAGCTTTGCCAAAACGGAGTACGCTTTCGCAAAGGTACCACGGAGGCCTGGTGCGGGAAGGCGGAGAAGAGCAGGGTCGGCGTCGGTGCCAGTATTGTTTTCACTATCTGCTGAGTCGAGGATACCCGACTCGGTGATGAAGTGCTTGACGGGGAGGTGCGTGCGCGCTGGTGTGGGCATACGATGGTGATCTCGCTCGTTGTACGTGAACATCGGGCAGGAGTTCAGGGTCAACAGTGCCTATGCCGGGAGTTAGAGATGTTGGCTCTGCGAGGCAGATATGTTAACATACTGATTCAAACTGTCCCATCTCGCTGTACACCTCTGCAAGCTTCGCCCACGTGACGAATTCGCTCGGCGCAGCATTGACAGCCTGCTTCGCGAGTTTGACCGCCCAATCCATCTTTCCTTTGCTGACGAGGAAATCCACTTGCACGTGCAGCGTCATCCAGCTTTTAGGGTTCGACTCGAGCGCGGCAGCAGCGATTCGGATAGCGCGCACTTCCTCGTCTGGACAAATGTCAGCAAACGGATGGAAGGCAGGGAATAATGCGTACTCATGCCAATATACGACTTCGCAAGGAGGGAAGCGACCTCAGGCTCGCGTGCAAACAGCTTCTCGAATAGGTTTGCCAGGGGCTGCCAGCGCCCGCTGTCTCCAAAGTATTTTAATAGACCGGATACAAGATGGTTAGATACAGGTGAAGCGACCTGGATCTCCGGGTCGGACCCGAGCTGCCAGCCTGTGAAGCAGCTAAGATGCGTAACATGACTGCACCAAACGCGCTTTACATACCGCGGAAGAAAAGGGCCTCTGCAGCTTGAAGGAACCTTAACTCGCTCTCGGTCGTCGTGATTGGGTCGAGCTTTCGGTAACCTGCTAGCCTATAGCTCTGATCCTCTGCATACAGCACTGAACGTAGCACCGCAGAGAGGTAGGTCTCCTGCCAAAGCTCAGGGGTCGCTTCATGCCGGTCGCCATGAAGATCGATGATGTATGCCGATACGCCGCCCGGGATTTTGACGTCGACACGAGCATCCACACGCGAAAAGGCGTTAAAGCAGCTGAGAGACTTATGAGACGTCGTGTTCCAGGCAGCAAGAAAGAACAAACCAGTAGGTACCGCTCCGTAGCTTCCAAGGTGTTTTCGCCCCAAACCAACTGCCTTGTTCTTCAAGCGAGTATATTAGAGAGTTGAGATACGCAGCCAATGATGCCGACGATGATGAATCGACCCCAGATACGTAATGATATGAGCCAGACTAAGATCATTTAGACATGGGACAATATGAAAGAGGCCTTCCACGTACATCCTTTTGGCCGTTCCTCCCGGTGCTTTTCACAACATGACACAGATCTGGCGGCCCAAGTTCACGAAACGATTGCAGAGACTCCGTTCTCGACAGAAGCGATTCGCCGAGCTCCACCTACACAGGCTCAGCATACAGTTCGCGATCAACGCGGCATATACAGCACCTCGAAGAATTCAGGGACATCCTTGAAGGTGTCCGCCATGTTCATTTAGGGCAACGTAGACGCCTGGCCGATATCCAGACGGTGCCTAGTGCAATAACCAAAGAGTGCAAAGTAATAATGCAGACGATTGACTGGATTGATGTCGATGTATGCGCTCGTCCTGTGTGCGGTGCGAGTAACGTTGCAACTTCCGTTTTGGTGGCGTTGTCGGACTAGACAGCGGATTATCTCACGGCAGAAGAGGAAGGATTAGGGCAGGCTCGACGCGTGATCAGCGCGTCGCGTTCATTTCAGCTTTCTGCCATGTATGCGCTTTTTGCACCTGTCCATTTCTCTCTCGGATTCCAATGATGATCTGTGTGGTTTCTTATCGACTGTACCGCACTCTTCAGAGCTAATCGGATCATTAAAGATGCGCTCATATCAACCCAATGGTCTTATGCACCCATCAACTTCTCGGCTATCGAATTGGCTATCGTGTGTGATGTCCGGATACACGTGGATACAGCAAGCATACACGCTGGCCGCACCCCACATCAATATTCCCCGCAAAGAACTTCCATCAAAAGGTGTCTTGTGACCATTAGCACCCTGGCAGCCAACAGACAGCGTCTAACAACAGCGGCGAGATTTCCGGGACGCACGCATGTTACATGCTCTGGCCATCTATTTCAAATATGGACATGCACGCAGATACGCGTGTTTTGCTGGCTGGTGACAAATGCGAGAAGTTTGGTGATTACTTGTCTCGATCGAATTAGACGCATTCCTCCACACATCTATCGTGCAGTGCCGAGCGTATCGTTCTAAACGCCGCCCCGTCCCCCCCTGCAGCACTTGGATGCACCGACAACATGAATAATCTCGGCTTCAAGCTCGACGCTTGACAAGTCTGGTTAGCGTCGCCGAGGCTTGTCGTCTTAGGCCTGGCATCCACAATCGCAAACTCCGAGGGCACCCCTCTTTGTGCTTGGTGACGAGTAAGGTTCGCAGTCAGACAGCGTTGTACTGGCACACCTCAATGTGACGGTGTTATCTCTTCGTGGTCTAATGGTTATTTTCGGGTCTCGTCCACCTATGTCTTACTAACTGAGACTATTTTGTCTGAGTCGCCGCCAGTTGTTCGGATAACGGAAGACGCTCGCTGATGAGAACAAAGCTCGAGGCTGAAGGTGAACACTCTTCTGCTGTGCGTTCAATATCTCCCTCAATTCATGGCACACGACTTGACCTCAGATTATTCTCGAAGCCTGCCTATCATCGCGCTGGAATCGGTCCAGGGACATGTGCACTGCGCCCAGTCGGGACCCTGCTCGCGCCGATACAGACGCTAACGACTGCCGGAAGGATCACGATGGAAAAGAATCACGCGCTCGGAGCCAAAGACATGTCGCAAATTACGTCCTCGCTCCGTTCGTGGCGCCGTCTCATCCCTCGCATCTAATTCTGGCAACACCTTCCATCCTGCCAGCCCCCGCCAAGAGCGTGGCCAGAAACGTCGAGGTCGCGCTACTGCCGGGGCGCGCCGTCCACCGGGCGAAACACAGTTCAAGTTCAACGTTGCACGTTCGTCAGCGAGCAAGGGTCATGCTGCATGCTAGTACCGCTTGAGCTGGCAACCCCTTGTGCGCACCGGTGCATGCTCCGAGGTCGCCCCGATGGGCCATTGCGCATGGGCGTCATCGAACGTTAGCGCCTGTAATACGCTCGACGTGAACAGACTACTTCTAGGCTTCTGACATGCCGCTGACGTACGGCCCCTGTTGACTTTATTCTGATCCTATGTAAGGGTTCCCCTATAGTGTCTGTCTACAATTGGTTAACGAAAATCTGCAGGTGAGCGATTCTCAGAAGGCATTGTCCTTATCTTCGAAGGTACATCCCGCCCTAACACTGTTCTTCCTGCCCCTTCCCATTACGTCCCTGGTCGAGCCCCTGCCTTGTGCGGGCAACAGGTGCCCCGCAGCCAACACGCCCTCCCATCACGATCCTCCACCGACGTCCCGACCCGAGCTCATCACGCCTGTTATTGTCGTGCCCAACAATTCTCGAACCATATGTTGTCGTCTGCCGCACCCAGCATCGCGTCTATTATTATCAAGCAAGCATACATACATCAGCAGTACTGCCCCGCACGGACGGCTCTTCCGGTCCGGGTCTCACCTGACATCACCAACACGCCCGTCGGCTCTTCGTGGAATTTCGTATATTGGCGCAACTTATAATTGTCTGTCCGCCCCTGCACACCTCATCCTAAGCCACCAACAAACGCATCGCTACAGCGTACTATCTCTACTCGATATCCCGACACCTACCCCGGAATCGGAGATTGCTACGCCCGCCCAGTGCGCGCCACGCGAATGAACTCCTACTTGCTGCTCTCAGTGGACAACAGGACGAGTTTTTGCGGCCCGCTGACTCGCTCGCAGGCCCCTCTTTTCAGAGAATAACGCACGCTTGACTCTCCTTAACGGACCCGAAGACTCGGACGTAGACCTTGACCTACCCCCGGAGCGGGGCTACTCTGAGCTCCGCGCTCCCGTTTGCGCCCAGCTTCGTGGCCCCACATGGCAGGCATCTTCGCTGCGGCCACAACCCCCCTCGTCCTCTCCCGCATCGAATCGCACCAATCCCATCATTCACGGACCTCTCGTACATCGCGCTATACCGACCCGTGGACTGAACCTCTTGACGATGAAATATCCCGCCTACCTTCTCCTGCTGTTTCGAACGCACCGACAGATCCCCTCAGCGACGTAGATCAAGACGAGAGCGTAGATGGTGGTGATGAGATTGGAGGCAATGGCCAAAGGGAGAGGACGAGAGCTCGTCGAGAACGCCGCGATTCTGGACAAACGGTGCACAGCTCACACAGGCCCACTCCGGGCAGGCAGAGAAGTTTCGAGGCTCCTTTCGGCCTGGGGCTATCTCTACATCGTCCACCGTTGACCCAATCATCCAAATCGTTGGGGCCCGGGGAAGAATCTGGTGATCCGAGGAGACGGCGGAACAGTTGGGGCTGGCCATGGGGCCGGGAGAACGAGGGAGAGAGGGAGCGCAGGCTGAGCCATGGTGGGGAGGTCGATATCGAGATGGGCATACCAAGATCGCCCGGATCACAGTCGATGCCTGGACTCGGCTTGCCATCACCAGGACACCCGCGAGAGGGGCATGTTGGTCGGGAACTGGAGCGGGAGCTTGGCGTGGAGGAAGACATACCTGAAGATGTGGAGAGTGAGCAGGAGGCAGAAACGTCTGAGGATGCGGATGTGAGCAGGGATGAGAGCGGGCGGACAGAGCTGGTGCAGGAAGAATCACTGCCTTCTGAGGACCAGGGAGTAACAACGCCAAAGAACGAAGAACAACTCGAACATATTGGCGCTCTAGCCCATGTTGCCGATGTAGCTGGCCAACTAGCTGAAGAAGAGGAAGCCGTGGAAGAGGATATTGAGCATGACGAAGCGGTAGACGCCGCTCGTGCTGCTGCTGCCGCCGCTGCGGCAGAGGCAGAGAAGGCCGAGGCGAGGGATACCATGTCGTCACCTCAACTCGGACAACCTACTAAGCGCCGACGTGGTTGGTCGCTATGCGGGAGGTCGCTGTCCATGCCAACGTTCCTTCCATCCGAGAAGAGTCTGAGCCCAGAGCCGGATCATCGCCGGCAAAGGCTTTTCAAGGTGAGAGAGCATCGGAGAAACATGAAACTGAGTCGAACGATGAGTTTTGCGAGCTCGTTCTCTATGGTGAGCCTATATTTACTCTCTGGACAACATCAACCGTGCTAATTCTCGTTCTAGGACTCGCCGAGGAAGAAGCAGGGAACGTCCTGGCTATGGAAATTGTGGCTGGCCATATTTCCTCCAGAAAGCCAGGACACAGGGTTCATCCCGAACTATCGGTACACACCTATTCTCTCTGGTATCGTGGTGCCTTTTGCAATCTTATTGGAGGTCCCTGGCTTGACGGAACATGTGAGTGCCTGTTCCATTTGGAGGAGCAAAGCGCTAACGCGGCTTTAGTGGTACATTCGAACAGACAATAACATAACAGTAGATTATCAGCCGAATCCAACCAGTGCGGAGCCCTTTATATCCAGAGACGCCACTGATCTTACCCTACATCCAGTCCTTGACGTTGGCTTGGGTATCTCCATGGCTGCCGGCGTCATCGCCAACCTTGCTCTTTTCGCCCGATTTCTGGAACGACGTGTGCTGGTAAGCACAATCGTGGCGACGGTCGCGCTGGCAGTACACGATGTCATCAACATTGCCATTGTGACTATTTTTGGTGTCATACACCGGTTCAACGACGGATTCACGTACGGCGAGGCGTTTTGGATCACGGTCTGCTCTACGATTGCAAGTACGTTTGTGAACATCACGTTGATTTACGATTTGGTCAAAACCAAGGACTTTGCCCGCTCTGGTAATCACAATGTTGTCTTTCTCGTGGGCAATGGCACTGACTCCCCTTGCAGGAAGCGGGCTGACTGCCAAGCAACGCAGCCTCGTGGTGGTGGTGATGCTTCTGATCTGTTATATTGCCGTGGGAGCATTGATCAACGCGTTCGCCAATGGACTCTCCTTCCTCGACGCGTTATACTTCACCATTGTATCAATTGAGAGTGAGTCAAATTGCATATTTGTTAGCAGCCAGCTGACGTGGGATGCCAGCAATTGGGTTTGGTGACATCGTTCCCATAACCGTATTCTCCAAGATCTTCATTGGGTTCTATGTCACAATCGGCATTCTCAACCTTGCGTTGGCGGTAAGCACAACGCGAGAGACAATCATCGAAGCATTTGAGAATGCATACCGGATCCGTCGAGCGAAGATCCACCAGCGTCGAAGGGAGCACCGGCAAGCACGGAAGCTTAGACAACAGGAAGAAGACAGACTTCGTGAGCTGGGCTTGTTACCGAGATATGTCAATGTTCGCACTGGAAGGAGAGGTGCGGCCACGAAGGTCGTACCGATGCTCCCTGATGGGACTATTGTGCAATCTCCTATTAGCGAAAGACCGATGTCACCAGACGGATTTGGTCATCCGCTGATGTCGTCCACGTCGAATCACTTCTCTCATGGCAACGCACCCCCGGCCTTTCCTTTAACAGCATCCACTCTTGTCCCGCCCTACACGGCGAATGACCTTCACTCCGCAGGGCTTCCTAGCGTCGCGGAGTCTTCTACTATCGTTGCAAGTGGACCGCCTACGGCGGACGGCATATCCAAAGAAGACGCGTTTGTCACACCCCAGGATGAGGTGAAGAAGATCGCCGCAGAACTGCGAGGTGATATGTTTCACCTTGATTTGGCAGCACATTCGGAGGAAGAAAGCTACCTCGAGTTCAAGAAGCGGATGGAGAAGGAAGAGACCCGGGAGTTCTACACCAAGGTAGGTTGAAAGTGATTGGTATTAGGTAAGTATAGCTGATACATCACTAGCTCGCGTGGGCGCTGTCCCTCTTCTTCGTCTTCTGGTTGGGAGGAGCAGCGATTTTCAGCAAAACTGAAGCGTGGACATTCGCAACCGGGATGTACTTCTGTAGGCGACAAATGATAGTATTTTTGATGTCTGCTGAGTTCTTCCTAGGCTTCATCACTTTCACCACCCTAGGGTACGGCGATGATTCCCCATCGAGTCCTGCTGGTCGGGCCATCTTCTGTGTCTGGGCTTTGGCGGGCGTCGGTGCAATGACCATCCTCATTTCGGGTACGTGGTTTTATGTCGTTTTATGCTCTCGATTCTCATCCAAGAGCAGTGATTTCGGAAGCATACAGTTCTCGATACAAGACTGTTGTTGTGCGCCACGGCATGCTCGATCGCGCCGTGAAGCACATGCACGATAAGCAAGCGCGTGAGGAGGCTAACCTCCGCAATCACTCTCACGACAACGCGAAAACGCCCTCGCCGCGTGTCTCGTTCGATGCGGATACACCATTGGCAGTCCGGTATGACAGCGTCTCTAAGGCCATCGACAAGTCGCAGAAGGAGCTGGAGGCGTTGCCGGCCGAGCTGCTCAGACAGGCGAAGACTCTTCACGACCATTTGAACTTTTTGAGCAAACCCCCCCATGGCGTAGCCATGCCCCCAACTATGCAGAAGCTGGTCGATGATGTTGTGCAATCGGAACATCTGGACGTGAGGATGAAGCGTACACTGATGGAGGACGAGGAAGCGAGAAGGGTAAGGTGTTGTGGAACCATCGTTGCCAAATTGTACTGATCCGTTGGTATTGCAGACACTGTTCATGATGAGTTACGAGAGTAAGAGCACACACATGTCGTTTAGATTGGCCATACTGATTCCGCGTTCCAGAGAGTCTGAACGATCTGATCCACTCGGCCGAGAAAGCCGTAGAGCTTCTAGCTAAGCGCGAACAGAAACATCAAGCGCTTGACCGGCTCCACCGGCTCACGCTCGAACGGACAATGACGACCGGATTCAGCGTACCAGACGGGGCTGCGCCAGAGCTCTACCCTCCGACAGGGTCTCGACATGTTCAGCCAACGGAAATCTCGGCGCCGATGGAGCCGAGGCTGTATGACGCAGCGAGTGAAAGCATGCGACAGCGAGAAGGGAGGCAGGAAGTAAGGCGGCAGAGACCGAAAGTGAGGATCGACATCAGTGGACTGAGAAGGTTGTCGTGAAAGTCTCATTATAACGCTTGAAGGAGATTTCAGTTTGTACGTCACGGACATGGATGAGATGGGGCAGGACCTCATGCTTGGTTACCGTTTCACATTTCCCGCTTTTACTCTTTCTTGCTCTCTGCACAATTTGTTCCACTAGGATACATGCATTGTTGTATTGTAGTGCGGTGTACGATTCCAATTTGTAGCTATTCCTGTCTCATACGAGGAGAGAAACGCTGCGGAAGCAAGTCAAGCCGCTTGCACATGCGGTATGATATTAGTACATGTGTTGCTATTTTCCACGTCGAAGTGGGCGAAACTACTTGATATGTTCACAGGGTGGTAAACAAGCAATCCGACCAACGCGAAAGGAAATAAGCATATCAAGTCTGGCCATTCCTGCAGACAGGTCCCCGTTCCAAGAGCCATTGATGGATGATGGATGACGATGCTCTGATAGTCGTACTAATCATGTAATACAGAAGCCAACAAGAGACACCGAAAGATACCTCCGGTGGAAAACATGCGACAAGCGCTGGGACACGGTTTGATGATTTGACCGAAAGGTCGTGGTTGTAGCGATGACTTGGATGCCGTCGTGCTGAGAAGTCGGCCAGTGAGGGAAGCGCTTGATCCATGGAGAGCAACGCGTCATCCTACGAGCATGTGCCGCGCTCAGAAGCTCCACTACGTACCATGAAAGACAGGGCGAATAAAATGAGGTTCGCCAGAGTTGGATGGTCGCGACCTGTGCAGTTCTGATCCGAAAACCAGCAGTCAGATAGAAGCCAGGAAACGTGTTCGTCGAGGTCTCGGCCTGCGTTCTCCTCATGGCGCTTGATCGTCATCTAGCCGTTGGTTCATCGGTGGAGTTTGGTATGTATGACCAGACGAATTGAGGCGCCAATTCTCAGAGCAGTCGGACAGGCGCCAAAGGAAGAGATCCAAACAGTATGCACGTAAGGGAGACCGTCAGAATGCGGCAAATTTGCATGTGCCAGTGTCCCTGCATCGAGCGACGGATGGGATACACGTGCCGTTTTATTTCCGTATTGTCAATCGTAGCCAATGGACAGTCACAACAATGTCCCGACAGAAACACCTGGCGCAACGGATGAGATGGGAGGGTCAGGGAACGACGGGTTAAAAGCAACAACAAAAAACTGGTCTTAACCGTGACTTGAACATGTGGATAGCTCTTCGTATAGGGGGGATGGGGCCAACAAAAGGGACCATGCGATCTTGCACACGGCAGGACGGCGAGTCATTGGAAGCCAGCCAAGCAATGCACTCTGCTATGTGAATCAACAAACATTCTCCTAGTCGCTGACCATTCGGCACGCAACCGAATGCCATCAAATCGAGCCGAGCATGATAGACTTCCGGAAACCAGTGTCTGATAATGTGCCATTGTCCTTGCCGGCGCCTGAGCAACTGTCACCTCAAAAATAGACTGGAAATAGGGGTTTGCCGTATTGTTGTCCCGCCAGCCGGGTTTGCTCTTCGACCCAACATAGGGAGAACACGTGGCCTTGCGAATACCATTCATAAGCTGCTGAGATATAATGTCTCAGTTTGTTCGTCTCATCTTCGACTTGTGCTTAGCCGCATTCGGACATCCGCATTAAAGCTCCCACTTGATATTTCACTGTTCCGTATGGCTCCAATTCGGTCGGGCCGTCAACACAGACGTGGATTGGTGTCTCCGTTGGCTGCAGTTAGGACGAAGAGGGCGGAGGAACCGAGGATTGGGCTTGCGACGCTGAGAGAGTTGCTGGAAGAAGCGCTTGCCGTCGATGAACATACCAACGGGCCTCTCGCACACGACCATCCCCAAGCGGAAAAGCTGGCGGCAATCATGGCGATAGACCTTGGCGACGGCAGGGTCACTTTGAAGACAACAGCCATGAAACCCGCTTCGTGGGTGGCACAGTGCACGAGCCAGTCGAAGGATTTCCCTGATGTTCCAGGGGATGAAGAGGTCGAGGCCTTCATCGAAACGTGCCTCAAGGCCACCCTCCCAGGCTTCAAGCCTGCCACCTTCCACGGGAAGCTGCACGAGCCGATGCCTGACGACGAGCTCGAAAAGCTGAGGAAAAGCAAGGGCAAAGATGAGCAGGATAAAGACGAGCAGGATAGAGAGAATGAGGAGAAGTACGACCGAGAACGAAAACGCCAGGCTGCGTATAGGTCGCGGCAACAACAAAAAAGTGCGTTCATGAAGGCAGATGAGCTGCAAAATGCTGAGAATCTTGCACAGTGCGGTGGGAAACTGTGGCCCGTACTTTAGCCCACGCCAACGCCATTATGATGTGGCAGAATCGTTCGCTGTGGGCCTGGCAAGAAAAGTACAGAGTATCAGAAGAGCAGCGCCTCCAGCTCACACGTCAACTGAAAGCGATGAGCCGCGGCGTTGAGATCCAGGAGGCCGGTCTCGCCGCGAGCCAGGCAACTGACGTCGTCCATCCTGCATGGACCACAGATGATGAACTAAACCCAGGATTCAACCCATCGATCCCATCATCCAGCATGGCTGGAATATCAGGGAGACCAATGGGAGCGTTTATCCGGAGTCACGATCATTCGCAGGCCCATCGACTGATCTCCAACCCAACATATCGACGATGCAGGATCAGCAACAGCAGCATCAGGATCCCAATGACCTCAATGGACTGTGGCAGAGAGACATTGGGCCTGATGGAAACGATGCGACGCCCGACAATCGAGATATGATATGGGAGTGGAGGGAGGAATTCGAGGAATTCCTGCGTTCGATTCCTGACCTTCAGGATGGTGTTTTCGATGGGCTGTTATCTGCGTAGATACTGTACTGTACAAGTGTAATCGCATCGACATGAATTGAATATCGTTCCCAGATGTTGAAGCCTCAAAGAAGAACAGGCAGTCCGCAACGCCGAGATAAGGCTGATACTCGCAAAGCGATGGTGAAAGTCAAGCAGTGGGGTCAGAGACGACGTCCTCAACGCCCAGTTGAGGTTGCTGCCAGCGACCTGCTCCGGTACTTGTTTACATGCGGGTCGGAAGCAGATCAACCCGTTTATTGCCGAGATTCGGACAGGGTCAAAGGTACATTCAGTACGTTCTCCCTGTGCCGTATTCTGAACAAACCCCATTCGGTTGGTGGAGGAGGTATAGCGGGTAGAAGTAACTGTAGCAGGAGGCATGAGGACCAGCTATCCTACGCCTGCCTATCCCACACTCGCATCCCATAGAACAAGCACACAGAGCCCATCGAGTCAAGCGTAGAACAGATCAGGGAGCAATGGTGAATAGGATATATCAGTACAAATCTCCTTGAAATGGAATAAAATCATCGGGACTCCGCATGTGCTCGTTGAGGGGGAGGGAAGAACTTCGGCTCCGAGACGCGTTGTCAGGGTTTTTGTGATCAGGACGGAAGCGCCCAAACCAAATCTACGTGACCAATTGCAACTTCATTCCCCCTCTGAACATTCTTCTCCTTTTTCACGCATCTCTGTTTGGCATTGGTGGCATTGCACAAGACGGGTCGAAATGCAGCTCATCAAGCCGGCATGGGTGATGCACACGGACGAGAAGAAGAAACGTCTGCCCATCTTCTCGCTGCATGTGCATGGCGATGGCTCACGGCTAGCCACCGGCGGTCTTGGTGCGTCTGGATGTGTATTAGACGCCATTCACATGTACTGATGAGTATGCCACAGACTCAAAAGTACGAATATGGAGCACTGCAGCGATACTGGACGAGCACAATACAATGCCCAAGTCGCTCTGTACGCTAACAATGCATGTCGGACCCGTCCTCTGCGTACGGTGGTCGCATTCGGGTCGACTTCTCGCCAGCGGATCGGATGATGGCCTGGTAATGATATGGGATTTAGATCCGTCCGGTGCCGGGAAAGTCTTTGGAGAAGAGGAGGTGAACGTCGAGGGTTGGAAGGCGCTGCGTCGGCTTGCGGGCCATGAGAGTGATGTGAGCGACTTGTCGTGGAGCCCGCAGGATAGATTCCTGGCGAGTGTCAGCATGGACAGCAGTGTCATCATTTGGGATGGTTATTCATTCGGCACGCATTCTGATATCATACTCCTGCTTGGAAAGACTGACTGTGAACAGATCGGGTCGCTAAGCTCGTCGGTCACCAGGGCTTCGTGAAAGGTGTATGCTGGGATCCGGTTGGACAATACCTTGCAACCCAAGTGTGTGGTGCCTCATTTTATTAGCGAACTGAGTCTGACAAATGATCCAGAGCGACGACAAAACAGTACGCATCTGGCGAACCACCGATTGGGCATGCGAGCGGGTCGTGACGCAGCCTTTCGAACTGTCTCCAGCCTCAACCTTCTTCCGACGTCTTTCATGGTCACCAGATGGTGCTCACATAACTGCCGCGAACGCAATGAACGGGCCTGTGTTTGTCGCTGCTGTGATTAGCAGGAAGGAGTGGACGAGTGATATCAGCTTGGTAGGACATGAGAATACCGTTGAGGTTGCCGTATGTCCGCCACTCCCAAGTCTCGACATACTTTTTCTGATCAAATTTGACAGTCTTACAATCCCCATCTATTTGTGAGGGATGAATCCAAGCCTGTCGACTCGCACAATATCTGTTCTGTGCTCGCACTTGGGGCAGACGACAGAAGCGTCAGCGTCTGGCAGACAAATCAAGCGCGACCTCTTCTCGTCGCCTTAGATGTGTTCGACAGGAACGTATTGGACCTCTCGTGGTGCGTCTGTCTTACGTCATCTCTATCATGTCGCTGATTTGGTTCACTTTGCATGATTATGAAGGAGCTTTGACGGACTGACTCTCTACGCCTGTTCATCCGACGGTACCATAGCCGTGATGAATTTTTCCCCTTCCGAGCTCCGCGGAATCGCCCCACACGACGTACAGCTCCAGTATCTCAAGGGGTACAAATTCACTTCACCCATGAACCTGACCTACCAAGCCGAGGCGCCTCAGCCAATTCCATTACCGCCTCAATTCGTTGCCCCAGCACAAAGAGTGCAGCCTTTGCCTGCTCAGCCGCCGATTAACGTCCGGGGGACACAGGAAGTCACTAGGACGAAGGATGGGAAGCGGAGAATTCGCCCAGTACTCCTCTCCCAGGGATCGAGCACTTCTCTGCCTCCTCCTGTACACCCGTACCAGCAACCACTGCAGAACGGCATTCATATACAGCCTCAACCGACCGCTCAGCTCGCCTACACCCAGCCCGTACTACAACACGCGATGGCAGAGCCCAGTAACCCCTTCACTAGCACACCTCTTTCTGTCTCACAACCTGGAAGCTATGCTAGCTCGATGCCGCTTTCTGGTCAGGCAGGATTGGCAGACGACGACGTCCAAATGGTCGACAGCTGGGAGCCTGCCGAGCCTGCTTCCACCGCTGGTGGCAGCTCCCCACGCAAAGGCAGGACGCTTGGGGGCGACAGGGTGCGGGAGCCCATTGTCGTTCGCGAGCTGTTGGGCTCTACGAGCGCGGTGATGCCCATTGTGAACCTACCCTCTGCATCTGGGGCAACAAGGACTTCAGAACCCGTGCTCAAGGCGCCGGGGTTGAAGACTTATGTCGCTGCGCCGATGGAAGGTGCGAAAGAGGGTGATGTCCTTGAAGGAAGGAACCCTGATGAACCAGACAGTACGTCCTTTGTTTCTCTGGCCGAGAGTTGCTGATGGATGCCACAGAACCTTCGGATGTTCAGCTGTATCAGAACAAAACGGTGCAGTGGCTCGACTATCTCCCTTCGCGGATAGTAGCTGTCGCTTCTACGAGCGTGTTTTTCGTTGCCGCCTGTATAGATGGAGGGATAACAGTGTATTCCCAAACCGGGCGAAGGTAGGCCCTTGTGTTCGTTGGTTGGCAGTGTACTGACATGAATTAGGATGCTCCCTACACTGATGCTCGACTCGCGAGCCGTGTTCTTACAGGGCCTAAAACAATATCTCCTCGCAATAACCGAGCAAGGAACACTAGCAGTCTGGAACGTCAAATCCGCCCAAGCCATCGTCCCCCCTTCCTCCATCCGGCACCTGCTCATCTCCCAGCTCCTCTCGGTCCAGTTACGCCCTAACGGCGTGCCAGTACTCAACTTTTCGGACGGCACTGCCTTCTCGTACGATCCCGGGCTGAGCTGCTGGCATAAACTGTCTGATGCGTGGTTCGCCCGCGGATCAGATAGCTGGGACGCAGCCCGCACGCGCGCCTCCCGGCCCGCCGCTCCTCGAGGACCGATAGCAACGCTCGAAGCCGCGATATCGGAGGCGAAGCCGCTCGAGCTCTTGATAGAGAACAAACCGGAATGGTGGAGCGCTGCGACGACGCTTGCCCACTTGGAGTCGCGTATGTTCGGTGCGAAGGCTCTGGATAGTCCGGGGGAGTACAAGTTGGCGCTGCTGGGGTATGCGCGGAGGCTTGCGGATGAGGGATTTAGGGGCAAGGCGGAGGAATTGATTAAGGAGCTTTGTGGACCTGTGTATTGGTGTGTCTCCCTCTTGTGCGGTGGAAGGATGGGGCTAATGTAGGGCAGGCGACTGCGAAAGGAGCCTTGGGAACCTACTGTGCTGGGGATGCAGAAACGGGACTTGCTCAAAGAAGTTCTGTCGATATTTGGTGCGTTATCTTCCTCGAACGTGGACCGATGACTAATGGATGATGGCCGGATAGCGAGGAGCAAGACATTGGTCAAGTTAGGCTCGGACTATCAAGACCTGATGAAGAGGATTGTGGTGGAGGATGTTTAATGGACCGGAGTACGTGGCATTGGGCGTGTTTTGGATGATGGGACACTATTGTATTTCTTGACTGTTTGGCGCTGTGTTGTATGTATGTAATGACATGCGGTTGGAATGATGGCCGCGGTGATGTATATGGCACAGGGGGAGTCATCTTGCGTCCGAAAAAGATTGCTGCTTACCTAAGTCTTTTTGGGCGCGTAAACACCGCTCTGTTCAAGGCTTTGCTTTCTTCCTCTCCTTCATTCCACTGCCAGTCTACGAACAAAGTCAACGCTTGTTCGGAACTAGACAAAGCGCAAGAGGTACGCTGAATCAAGCTGCCGTATCCGACCGAGGCGGGTCTCACGTGCTGAGAGCGTGATCCGGCACTGTTCAGCCACCTAGCACTTCACTTTGTGTCCTCACCCCCGCAACGCTGCATCCAGTCACATTCATACCTTGTTACCTATCGTACCATCACCAGTCAACGTTACGTGTCGTGTGCTCTTATTCTAGGCAACGTGGATCTTTTGACGACGTACTTGGCCTTACTCTCTACCACCATATTCGATCCTCAATTCTACAAATCAACTAATTCTCAATACTCAACTTGGAATAATGGCCGATTCTACTCAGTCCACTCAACCTACGCATGCCTCCCAGCCTACACCCCCTGCTCAAGGACCGCTGACTCATTCCCCTCGCACATCGTTCCACCTCTCCCAGCCCTCCTTCACATCATCAAGAAGCTCACATGGGTCATTCAGCTCCACCGCATCTCATCCACCGAGCGCTGAGGAGCTGATAAACGCCTACGAAGCCGATCAGGAACGCATAGTCAATGTCTTATCTCGCAAGCTGGAGCAGGTACGCCTCACCCACTAAACGGGATCTAATACCAGCACTAACGCCGCACAGCTGAGTCAAGAGAAAGTCGACTTGGAGAATGCGATGGAAGCGGAGAACGAAGCTCACGTTCTGCGCCTGCAGCGCGAGCTAGCCGCGTTGCGTGCTCAGCAGCTTGCACAAGGGACGAGTGCTCCCGCCAGCGCGGAGGGGAGCGAGCCTATCTCCCCTGTTGAGGGGCCTGCGCTCCTCGCGGTGAAGGATGGGAAGGAGCGACCGGGGAGGGATGAGAACGCTACTCCTGGACCGAGTATGCAAGCCGTGGTCGACGCGTTGAGGAGGGAGAACGACGGGCTCAGAAATCGGCTGTATGTCCTTCCTTCCCTCGTTCCCCTCTCAGCACGAGACACTGACATTGAAGAAGGCACGAAACCGAAACTGACTATATCCGACTCTCTCGCACTCTCTCAGCATACAAAGACGAACTCGTTACCCTCCGCCGCCAGCTAGGCATCCCAGTTGACAACCTCGTTTCTCCTCCTCTTAGCCCCCTAGGCCTCAGCCCCAGGAGCAGAACCGGCTCTCTCTCCGGAAGGAGCTGGCACGGGTCTCCAGTGACCACCTCCCTACCAGTAGGCGGGCCTAGTACAAGCGTAGGACCGGGCAACGGAATCAGCAACACACACAGTCCAAATATGGAGATGAACGAAATGGACATCCTTTCCCCTCCCTTGCACCCTGTCTACCCCCACCCGCTCGGGCGCTCCCAATCGCTCACTTTCCCTTATCCTCTCTCCTATCCCATCCCTGGTCCGCACTCAAACGGCACCCCCTCCTCCCCCTCCAACCCCAGTACAAGCACAACAAGCACCAACTCCACCCCATCGCCCTACGCCTCCCTCCTCTCCTCCCTCCCGCAGAGCTTTTCCCCTTCTTCCTCCCCGTTAGCCAACTCCCCCGGTCCGGGCGCAGCGAGTTGGGGACTGAGCTACCCACTCGTACCCCCTCCGAGCCTCAGCAGCTCTCTAGGCTCTGGCCCAGCATCCTTAGGCAGCCTGGCGAGTTTCCCAGCAGGAGCATACGGCCCCGCGAGCCGGAGAGGCAGCCTAACAGGGGGTCATGCGCACCCGCTTACTCACACGCCCCTGCATACCCAGGCAGGGATGTCCGGGGCAGCGGAAAGAGGGCGGAGAGTGGTCGAGACGGGGAGTTTGAGGAGGGAGAGCTTGAGGGAGGGCAGTAGGGGAAGGTTGGGAAGGAGGCTGGAGGATGTGGGCGAGGTTGGGGATGGGGAGAGCGCGGTTGTCGATTGATCGATTGACGCGTAGTGGAACCGTTTGGTTCGGTCCTACGTGCCTGGGAGGGTGAGCTGTCATATGCAAATTCTTATTCTGGCCGATGCTGATTCTGGTTCTCATCCATTCTCCCTTTCTCCCACTCATCCCTACTTTAACGCCTCCACTTCCTAATCTTCCAATCTTTCCCCATTTATCAGATGTGTCCTCCACCGAGCTGTACTTCTAGCCATTCATGGTATGTGTATGCCTTTGTCACCGGACTCATGCCAGGATTCGGTACAGAAGAGTTGTCGTTTACCAAAAACTTGCTCCCAGCGCTCGAGGAATGGCGGTTGAATCAGATATGTTTCGGGTCAGCAGGGCATGATTCATCTAGTCCATGTCCGGAATTTCGGTAATAAACGGCTTTATTGCTTCCGCAGCAGATCGATGGCAGCAATTTCAACTCGACGTTCAGTATTTCAACTCGACGTTCAGGATGTCTTACCACACCCCACTGCTTAACTTTGCACCATCTCTTTGCGAGGGTCAGCATTATCTGGCCGCTGTGGACTGCTTGTTCTTCTTTGAGGCTTCGACATGGAATTCAATTCAGCGGACGTGATTACACTTGTACCTATGAAGACACCAGCCCCTCGATATCGAGGTCCTCAAGTTGAGGATCTCGATTTTAGCTATGATGAAGTCCTCAAACACCAAGCCACTCGATCCCAGTAACTTCGAGTGTTTCTCTTCAAGGACCACTTCGCATTACCGAGATTGATCGCTTTGATGTCCCCCACCTTTGCCGCTAATCCATCTACGTCCGAGCATGGCTCGCTGGTGGCTCCGAGGCCTAGCGTTTTCTGCTCGGATGTAGTGGCCCAGCTGGCATCTTCGACGCCGAGCATTTTCTCTGTCGTCCGTGTGCTTCTCATGTCCTCCATGCAGAGTGTTACTGGCAATATGGCTCCAATAACGTCTCTGTTGACAGCCTGATCTAATTGGAGCCATATTGAACAGTTAGAATTCTTAAGCCGAAATTCGACAAAGGGATGTTGGATTGCTCCTTAGCACAAGTGGAAGAGGAGACAAACAAATGAGACATTATATCTCGTCAATATCATTCATCAACATATCAATGATGTTGGCAGGGTCATGTGTTCTCCCATGTCAGTCTAGCTTGAAATGTCCAAACATATCCACAGACCTCTAACCACCAACCACTCAGACACGAGTCAAGATGCACTTGCAAGCCTATTGAAATACCTCGCATACTCAAGGTGGTCTGTGATGTGAAAGACCACAGACGTGCTATTGGCAGATGTGTCTATTGACTGGCTGGCAGATTAGGGGTGTCCTTGAACCTCCTTTCCGAGAACATGATACTGTGGACTGTGGAATTGAGAACTGATGGGGAGTGGTTAGGCTGAATTTGTTTGTATTTGAGGCTCAAATGTCCTGATCCAAGGAGAGGATTGCCGGAGCATGATATATACACCTTGCTTCCAATGAAAGCAGATTACTTAGACGGAATGTTGGGAAAGATTGACAAGAGATACGAGGACAGAACGCTGGAAGGCCACAGCATACAGGGCAAGACCCGCATCACACAACAAATATATTCACTAACGAACGGGTATATCTTGACTATCTTACCTAAGAACTACGAGTCACTCACATATCAAGCACGCATCAACCCTATAATACATAATGAACGAACGGATCACAGATCAAGCGTGATAGGAGCAGAGAACTGAACACGGAATGAGGGAACAGTGCGCTGGCGAAGCTGGGTACGCTTCGGCCACTCAGCCAGAGCACAGCCCTAACGCAGCTCCTAGAAAGAAAGGAGATCATTTCGTCTTGGTACGCTTCGCGCGCGCCGAGCCGTCAGAGTTGGATATGGGGGCCCGCGCGGTGGGAGGCTGACGCTGCGAAGGGTGTGAGGGTGTGTATGCATATAGATGGAAGGGCATACTTTGCGCTTCTGTGGCATTACTTCTTCCTCGGACTCATCGTCGTTAAAATCGTCCCCGTCGTCATCATCATCGCCGTATGTTTTAGAAGAGACGTGCTGTTTCTGCATGCGCGTAAGCATTGCTCGAAGGGAATCATAGGAGACAAACTTTTCGAACCTTGCGTCCACCGGTTTTCGCCTTGTCAGCCGGCTTAGCCGCCGCTTTCTTAGCTCGTTTCTTCGGCTTCTCCTCTTCTTCATCTTCTTCGTCATCATCGTCCTCTTCCTGGTACTCCGGTTCCTCGTCCTCGTCCTCATCCTCGTCCTTCTTCTTAGGTTTGGCCTTGCGTACCCTCTTCTTAGGCGGCTCGTCCTCCTCATCTTCGTCCTTGGCTTTCTTCTTGGTTTCGCGTTTCTTTTTCGGTTCCTCTTCCTCTTCATTCTTGTCAGTCTTCTTAGTCGCGCGTTTCTTTTTCGGTTCCCCTTCCTCTTCATCCTTGTCGGTCTTCTTGGTCGTGCGCTTTTTCTTCGGCTTCTCCTCCTCCTCGCCTTCCCCATCAGCTTCGGGTTTCTTCGCACTCTCCGGAATGTCCTCCGGCTCGATCGTACGCGTCTCGAAAGCCTTCTTCACCTTCTCCTGATCTTCCAGTCTATGAACCATAAGCCCATCAACGCGCATATATCTCACTGAACTCACTTCAAGTCCTCATACCCGTCCAGTTCCTCGATCTCCCCCACGCTCTTCAAGATATTCCCCATAAAACGATCCGTGACGCATCCAAAGTGCCTCCACTGGAAACTCTGGATACCCTTGATATCCACCAGAGTGCCGACACGCATTATGCCCTTGGCGATCGGGGAGCCGGAGCATGGCTTGGGACCTTTACATTTCGAGCGAGCGGAGGATGCGTATTCTGCCCATTGAAAGCGCGTTAGTTGGACATGCACAGAGGGAGATGGGGATAAAACAGCATACCAATACGATACGCGGTCTTGCGCCCAGGGCCCTCTTCGTCGGACATGGTTGTTTTCTGAGCGGGAGAGGGTGGTCGCAACGGACGAGCAGAGCCCGTAGAAGTTGGCCAACCAGCACACTGGCGACGCGCCTTCCAGAACCCTTGCATGCACGAGATCGGAGGAACTCCCACGCGCAGGACGGGAGCTTTCAGAGGAACGGAAGCTGTTAGCGCAGGGTACGGGAAAAGTGAGTTGACGTTGACTGCTGAAGACAGAGCTCGTCGTCCGACCTTTACTCAACATCCAGCATCATGGTGAGTCCGCTGTCCCTCGTTTCTTGGGTGATGGAGATGGAGTCTGGGGGTGACTGAAGGGGTTGGGATGAGATCTACTGGTTTCTGGGCGATGGATGGATGGATGTGGGGTGGATTGTTCAAGCCGGTGTTGGATGCACTCTGCCCGGTCATACTTCCCTCACCCTCCTTGGTCTCACTGTCCGTCATCCTAGCATGCTAACCCCATCTACAGACCAAGAAGAGAAGAAATGGCGGCCGGAACAAGCACGGCCGCGGCCACACCAGCTTCGTGCGCTGCTCTAACTGTTCCCGTTGCGTCCCCAAGGACAAGGCCATCAAGCGTTTCACAGTGCGCAACATGGTTGAGTCTGCGGCTGTAAGGGATATCAGCGACGCGAGTGTCTACCAAGGCAAGTATATGTGTGGCCTATTGGTGTAACTGTTGCTGATGATATGTAGAATACGCTGTTCCCAAGCTCTACATCAAGATCGCCTACTGTGTCTCGTGCGCCATCCACTCGCACGGTGCGTTTTTCCTCCCTTCTCCTGGGAATTCTGCTCATCCCCTCCAGTCGTCCGTGTCCGTTCCCGTGAGGGCCGCAGGAACCGTGCTCCCCCTCCCCGCATTCGGTTCAAGGATGGCAAGAAGGTGAACCCCGCCGTACAAGCAGCAGAGGACGCCAAGGCCGGTGCTGCTGCTGGTGCTCGGTAAACCCGTCATGTCCCTGTCTTCGTCATCAGTTGCGTATGAGAGAATGGGTGTGTGCATGCGTTGTGCCAGACGGAAAACCCGCGCGGCGGGAGTATGAGACATGTGATTAGTTGCGTGTTGCTTGTAATGCACCCGTTTGCTATCATTCCTCACTGCGTTTTCTCGAGTGACTTGTGATCGGTGTGCTCGAGTAGAACAACGCGCTTCTCAAGCTTTTAGGGTTCACGACACGGACGTCGGATGAGTTGCTGCACTTGCACTGCTTCATCGCGCATACACGTGTACTAATCGCACGCATTGACGCGCACTCCATACCAGCTCATGTCGGCAGGTCTAAACTTCTGTCCCAGCGACCTGCCGACTGGTCAGCCAAAGTCCTGGAGAGCCTCGTATGGGACTCCTTACGCGTTCCCGCTTCTTCTACTTCCAGAAGCTGTTACTGCTGAGATGAACAGCGGCCTATGGGAGACGTACTGGCAGCCAATGAGTCGTAAGCCCTCTCTCTTTGTTCTAACAGCGCATATATGCTAACTCCTAGGAGATAGGGAATTGCGATTCTTCACCGTATGTACTCGAATGCCAACGCACAACCAATGACCAAACGAACGTGTCCCCATTCAACCCAAACATACCGCAGCGTAGCTGGATTTCCGGGACTAGTAGGTCGACTATACCTCCCATGTCACTGTCCTTAGTGCCTACCCAAGAGCCGCCTCTTCGAGTATACGAAGGTCGCGAGTCATACCCACCTAACCACCAGCATTGTCCATATCGATCCCTCTGTCGCCTCGAGCTCTCTTCGCATCCCTGGCCCCGCTCACCCACCCAAACGTATCTCGTGGCCTGCGTGAAGACCGTAACGAGGAGAATAAACAAGTGATCGTTCCTCCCAATAGCCTTGCATTGGACGACAGGGAAAGACCACTTTTTCCTGTCAATCTCGCCGAGGGCTCACACTATAAGTCGGACGCCAACGAACACAGTGGCCAATCCTGGGACGAGGACTCTGTGATACCCCTTAAGAACAAGCGTCTTGCCTGTGCGACTTCCTCCCATGACGAGGACGAGGTACGTCTCTTCTGCCCCATACTTCGCCCTGTAGGAACAGCAGACTCGACGTAACTATCCAGTCTGCCTCAACCCCAGACATAGCGACACTGCACGACGAGGCCCTCCAATCTCTCGAACACTCGCTGGTCGCTATCACGCAAGCCCAACGAGATGACTCCAACGATACATTTGGAAGACACTTCTTATCGTTCCTGGATGGGCAAGCCGGCGGCAGCCTCACATCGAATGGTCCGCTCCGGGAACATATCGAGGATGACGTCCCAACCCCGAGCACGGTCGAGCACGGCTTCTAGCCAATGTCGACATTGCTACGCGTCTGAATGCGTCTCTGGATTCTCTTCTCTGCACTCTTCCACTGAGATGTCATTGATCCACTCGATTTTCATGAGGAAGGTTCTGCTCCACAACGGTGTTCTCTGTGATACCTTTCACGAGCGAGAGTAAGTGCTTTTCGTATTGCTTCCATACACCATACGGACAAATGCAATGTGCTGAGATGACATGTTAGAAAGTTTCAAAGGCAAAAGGGACATTATAAGTCAGACAACGGATAAAAATCCCTTCTCCAGATGATATACGTATGAAACACGTGCATCCAGGCGAAAGGATAGCAGTGAACAAGAAAGATATGACTAGAAATCCAGCTGTTTCGTGAAGTACATATTCATCAATACTGGAAGAGGAAAAGGATCCGCAGTAACATTGACCTCTCCCATGCCGTTCCTTTCGATAAGGTACACTTTCGTGGGCGGCGTGACACGGACAGGGAAGAGCGCCGCGTGTGCTAAACCGTGATCTAGGAACCATACAAGCCGCAAGCTCTGGCAAACTTGTACCAGGCTGTTCTTGAGGGTATTTTCATCAGTGACTTGGTATGTACTCGATCTGACATGTAGTCGAAGCCATATCAGCTTTGACGTGGTCCGGAGAGCAGAAGTCAATTCTTCCTGTTCATTCAGATGAGATCACGCACAAAAAGAATAACGAGCGTATCATACGATGGTGCCATCGACACAAACTTGGAGATGGGTGAGATGAGGACACGAAGTTACCAGGTCTCTCAAGGTTGACGGGACTAGATAACCGCGGTCATCAGAGTTGACACCAACGTCCTGCCTTCCACCATGGACCAGAAACAGGCGTCGTAAGGTCGGAGTCGCAGCGAACTTTCGGAACAGATGTGCTTCGTCAGGGACACCGTCTTGGAGGACGGACAAGTCGTAGTCAGGTGACGATAGGACGAGCTCGAGTGTGTGAAGCGGCCGGTTGCCATCGCAGATGGTTAGGCAGTCCTGCGTGGTCCCAGAAAAGACGGAAAGATTGGTGACACTTGCCGAGGACAAACACCGGCCATGAAGGGGGGCATTTAGGCGCTGAAGACGCGGCGATTGTCCGAGTAGAGGGCGAACGTCCATGAGAATGACATCCTTCCAAGGCCAGAAATCCAGGTCGATCCTGAGTCTCTGAAGCGATGGTAGAAGTACGGTATTGAGCGAAGCAAGCATTGGCCCAACACGGGTCTTGACCTGTTCCCTGCCAGAAAACCACAAGGATCCTTCCGGAGGGCCCGTATGTCTCGCCCATGACAAGGAGAGATCGAGGCGTTGCATACAACTGTCCAATCGACGAAGATTTTGAAATAACTTCGTTAGGGCACCGGTGATCTGAATCAAGTGATGCTCGGAAACTAGTCGGAGGTGAGAAACATAATTTGACAAGGAATATTAGGATTTCACTGACATAAAACAATCCAAATCTGGAGTGAATAGACATGGGAGAGAAGATGGGGATGTTCTACCAGTGAACGCAAAAGGCTTGAGTTGGCAGAGAGTATCTTCACATCACGATAAAGCAGAGGGTTAAACAACTGATAAGATGCTCTTGACAGCCTAGCTAGTACCGCCCAGTCGCGAATCACAATGTCGTACTCCCAAAATATGTGAATGAAGTCCAGTGGCAAGTCATTTAACGTCCGATGTGAGTTCATCATAATCCAAGAAAGCGCGTGGTGCTGGACATGAAAGAGAGGTAGACAATGTCTCCGGGATCAATTGGACGTTGTTTTACCATTTTCAGGCATCGTCAGGAACTCGGGCCGGCATATATCCCGCAATGACCCCTCCGTCTGTGAGGATTATATGTGCGATACTGAACTAGTCATCACTGGATACACTCATGGCTTCTTCACTGGACCATCCGGCGGCTTCGGCCTCTCGTTCCTCCTGATGCCGCTCAAATTCCTCAATCCATGCTTGTCGTGCAGCAAGGCAGTACCAGGGCTGGGAAACAACATTGGCAAGTGTGCGAAGGATGTCCCATCGAAGGCTTGCGGCTCGATACAGCGGCGAGCTGACGCCAGCCAACTTGGCGATTTCACCAACGAAAGTTGTATGAAAGTCAAGCACTTCGTTTGACGGTCGTGGTTGACGGTCGGTGCGGGTCGTGCAAAAGAGAGGAAGCCCGGCAAGACGCCACAGAGGGTATGAACCAGCATATTGCCAACTGAGAAGCGATATGATATTGCCCGCATTCCTGCCTTCGGTTTCAATCAAGATGTCACTGCAAGTAGATGTCAGCTCCGATTCTAAACGTGCAGACAGAGTCTCACGAGCTATCCAAGCTGGGATTGTATACGTAGAACTGGCCATTCAGAGCGTTTGCCTCAGCTTCTTCGCAAATCGATGAGATGGACGGCAGAAACCGCATCAGGAGATTATTAGACAAGTCAGTCGCACCATGCCAACTCATCCCTGTCGGTAGGGTTTCACGTCCGTATTCGTGCCAGGTGGCGAGACGCTCGTTTTCTTCCATTTCCATGCTTGATAGCCAGTCACTGGCACGCTGGAATATTCTGTGAGAACGCCGGGTTTCGTATGCTTCGTCTCTTCCTTCCGGTGGCGGTTCGAATTTCTCAGCCTGAATAGGCCCAATGATGAATGTGCCTTCTGGGTCCATACATATCGATCCAATGCGATCGAACGTAAGATGATACATTTCATATGTTATTCGAGCATAGTGTTGGATCGTTTGGTGCTTCGTTTCCAGAGGGAGGCCGTCCCAACACTCATCGAGCCGCCTTCCGTGAACCTGAGCAGGTTGGTTATTAAGCCGAACATGTGATGCTACCACTCACTATGTGATCAAGGATCAGAAAACCGGACCCTAGAAGACCCTCGTTCGTCGCCCAACCGTATATGGGAGAAATCGGCACTCTGCTTGCTGTTCTCTCGCGTATGTACATCATGGCTGATGCCTTGATCCAATCATTCAGTCCACCGCATTAATTTCAGTCGAGAAAACTTCACCTCTGCTAGCACTCTTCCTTTATGATAAAAGGCATCCTTTATGGCGAGCCGAAGCACGAGTTCCTTGGGAATGCGACGTCGTCGAGGAACATGTAACTTGAGCAAGAAGCACTGCCAGATTGAGTTCAGCGGACATTCCCATGTCTGAGGACAGTCTCACTTGGTTCCTCTCAGTTGCACATAAAGGTTCAACATCACACGGCACGCCAAATAGCAAACGTCCCAAACACGATATTCGAGTGAGAAAATCTAGCTGTCGTAATTCGGCAGCGAACACAGGACCGAGCATGTCCAGTACGACAGACGACCCCGAATAGACGCCCTGGAAACTACTAGACGCCACTGTCTCCAGTCTCAGCGTGATGAGGTGGAGAAACTGAGCCAAATATGCTTCGTTTGTCGAGGGTGCATTCATAGGCTAGAAGGAAAGATGATTGAGAAAGGAAAGGCAAGCTGAATGCCCCACAAAGAGGCTGATGCATGTTGATGGTCCAATATCTCGGAGACGGCAGTGAGTGCCAGCAATGCGGATTAAGGAAACCATATCAGTACCATCGGTAAGGATTGCGAAGGTGTAGGCACGGCTAGCGCGGTTAGAGCGGCTTTTACTGACCAAATGTGGGCAAGCATCGGTTTGAAACACTGGAAGGGCCCTACAATTCGCCGTTTTCGTATAGCATGCAGTCACAGAATCAGATTGGGAACAAAAAAGCAGTGACAATAACGAGTGTGCATGCTTTGCTGTGTCCAGGGGAGGCCCTTCAAGTTTGTCGTCGCCGGAAGAAAGACGCCTTTCCTGACAACTTTTCAAATGCTTTGCGGGAGCATTCTGTGTTGACACGGGCGTCGCATCACGTGTTTTTTTTGTCTTCAGTTCACTCTTTGTTTGCAGTTCAATGAGCAGCGCGCTTTTTGGATCATGAGTGAATCATATTAATGGAACTGAATCTCATGATAAGAAGTTGACGATCGCAACATACAAAGAGAAAGGAAAAGAGACCAGAACTGCGGTGGGATAACAGGCAGTCGCTGTCAATATTATCTTCCTCGCCAGCCGATTGCAGTAGCAGGGCGAATAATGGCTATCTCAGAGGCAACTGCTGCTGTGATTCGTATTCCCTCCACTCCCGTGGTGAGGTGATGTCTTACCAGGGTCTTAGCACGGCTTTTGCAAGATCTCGAACGTTCTTCAACCTCCTGTCTTCACCCTGGATAAGCGTAGAAAGTGTGTAAAACATGTCTGCATGGGTTGCCAACGCTAAGCAAAGAGATATCCTATAGTGACTGACGGTCGCTTCGTCGTATCGTTCACCATTGCATCGGTCCGTAAGGACTGTCGGTAACCCGGCGAGACACCATAACGGCATACTCCCAATCGGTGATCCAGCGGATCTTCCCAGTTCTTATATCAAGGTCAACAGCAGTAAACGAGGAAGTTCATTGCTCACGAGGCGTTAAGGTTAGAAGCCAGAGACAAAAACCTGTTCGTGCATCGCCATCTGGACATATGTGGCAGAGGCGCCACGACATCGATTTCTCCGTTCTGTTCTGACATTTAAGAGTGATGACTGGCTTGTGAAGTTTGAGTTGAACGCAAATTTCCGCCAACATCTGCATGCACCTGGACTTGGCAGAGTCCTTGCGCCAGGCCTGCCAGAGTTGGACCAGGGACACATAAATAGGTTATTCTGTCCATTAGAATCGCGACGTTTTTTTATCTGGACGTGAGACACTTTGGAGGAGACAAATCGCATGTCGATTGTGTCGCGAGTGATGTACAGCGTCAGGGCGGCATACCTCCAAGAACCATGGCACAACTTGCGCGTCGCCGGCCATGATAAGGCAAATTTATCAGGCTGAAAGTTTTCTTCGTGATTGCCAGCCAGGACCTATTGCGGTAGGAGTACCGAATGAAAGCAAGTACTAGTCTAGAGTCGTGCGTATGAAGGCAGAGAGCAAAGAAAGTGCACTCCGGCTTCCTCGCTGTTGTCCGAGTGGCACTGCTCGGAAGCAGAACTCTGGGGGAAGCGCACGTGCTGTTCTCAGAGATCGTCATGAGGGTCTTCCAGGTCAGGAGCCAGGAGAAAAGCGCTGCGCTTTGAGGTGTACAACTTGCTACTAGACTCTTTTGTCTGTTCGACTAGGAGGAAACGAAAGTGGACGGCTCATCTACCAGCTTTAGTGGAACTAACAGTACCCTCTGATTGTGGAAGATATCTCGGACTTCAGAATACGGCAGTCCGCTTACGCGCGTTCTCCTGTCGTTGCACTCTCTCGTGTCCTAACGACGCGTTTCTCGTTCTCCTTTCTCGACACACTTTCATCTACAAGTCAGATCGTATTCAACAAGAGCCCAACGATGATATTTCCCAGATCGGCGTCAACGCATCCCCAACTGCTCTTTGCCAACTTCAACCAGGATTTCTCGTACGTCTCGTTGCCAAGTACGTTGAGGGGAAAGCTGATCTTGCCCATCTTGCCCTCTACATCGTTTTTCGCACCATCTCGAACTCGCATATGATTGATTTATGGGCACATACAACAGCTGCATAAGCGTCGGTACACGATCAGGCTACTCAATCATCAACTGTGATCCCTTTGGGCGCGTATTCACAAAGAGTTCGTCTATGCTCGCCTTTGCTGCTTTCTGAACCCCTACTCAAACATACCAGATGAAGGCGCGGTTGGCATCGTTGAGATGCTCTTCTGTACTTCTCTTGTCGCCCTCGTGGGCGCTGCAGACCAACCGACAAGCAGCCCAAGGCAGTTGAAGATCGTCAATACCAAAGTTAGACTTTACTGCCCTTTCCATTTGTGCGCAGACGCTGATTTGTCTTCATTGGGTGTGTAGCGGCAATCCACCATTTGCGAGCTCTTATTCCCCACGACAATCCTTGCGGTGAAGCTGAACAGGAAGGTTTTGGCGGTAGTCCTCGAGGCCGAGATATACCTGTATGATATCAGCAATATGAAGCTGCTGCATGTCATTGAGACGAGTCCGAATCCGAACGGTGCGTGTACTTCAGTAGAAGTCGAGCATATTGCTTACTCAGGCGTTCTTGTCACAACGTGTGGCTTACAGCTATATGCGCCCTCTCACCCTCCGCCACCTCCTGTTACCTCGCTTACCCCTCTCCCATTCCCTCCCCCTCCAGCACCTCCAGTGTACCACCACCCACGACTCATGCCTCTCAATCCGGAGATGTGATCATCTTTTCTCCCCTTACCCTCACCATCACCAACGTCGTCCACGCGCACAAGACGCCCATCTCATGCCTCGCATTGTCGTCCAACGGACAATTACTGGCTACTGCCTCGGAGAAAGGGACAATCATTCGCGTCTTTGCACTTCCATCAGCACAGAAGGTCGCACAATTCCGTCGGGGAACAAGGGAATCACGGATACACAGTATGAACTTCAACAACGTTGGTACGCTCCTCGCTGTGAGCAGTGCGAGCGAGACCGTGCACGTCTTCCGGTTGGACGATAAGCGTGCTGCAGCGAGCGTGGCAGGGGGGAGGAGAACGAGCGGGACGAGCGTCAGTAGTGGTGTGGGAAGCGCGCTCGGTGAAGAAGATGCGGATAGTGCTAGAAGCGGGAGTGGGGCGGTTGAGGGAGGAAGGGAACCCCCAAGCGTGGAGAAGCAGGCACTCTCCTTAACGTATGTCACTATTGCTTTCCTATTCTCCGCGCCGCGTTCTTACCTAATTGCAGAGGGATGCTCTCCCGTCATTCATTGAAACTTGCCGGTGGTCTGGTAGGGCAAGTGGGCAGTATGCTGCCAATTCCCACCCAGGTGTCAGAGATGTGGGAGCCTGCGCGAGACTTTGCCTACTTGAAGCTTCCAGGCGGGGCTGGGAGATGTGTCGTTGCGCTGTCTGGGTGTGTTTCTCTCTTTTTCGCGGACATTCTGCCCATGGAGTCCATATTTCGGTACTTTTTCGCTTACGTACGCACAGCACCATGCCGCAAGTGATGGTTATTTCTTCGGACGGGTACTTTTACGCGTACAATATCGATCTCGAGAACGGGGGTGAGTGCGTGTTGATGAAGCAGTACAGGTGTGTCCTATTTGGCCTCGCTTTAGTCATGCGTTCTGACACTGTGCTTAGCCTAGTAGACTCGGGTGACGATAATACGGGAGAATAGAGGGAGATGGAGAGCGGAATAGGAAACGGAGGCAGCGTTCTTTCGGTGTGATTACTGACATATCCGTAATATCTAGCGCCGAAAGCGTGTATAGTATTATGTATTCGTTGTTCGTTTGTTTTGCACCCTGTATTCGGGCTGATCTTGTCTTCTGGCTCGGGACTCCCTGGGCATGGTTCTGTTCCACGTCCCTTTATTCTCCCATATCATCGTCACCTGAGTCTGCTGCTGGTTTCCAGATGTTGGCGGCCATGCAGCTCTAGCAAGCCTCATGTACTGTATTCTTCAGCTGATTGGACAGGTCTCTCTACAAAAGAATATTCCCAGGCTCAGAGGGTGGCAGTATGAATGACATGTTTGCAGGCCAGCATCATCTGCAGCATCTGAGCCACCAGTGGGGAGCAGGATAGGAAAATGGAGACAGTGTTCTTTCTGTATGATTACTGGCATATCCGTGGATACCTAGCGCTGAAGTCATGTATAGCATTATGTATTCATTTGTTTTGCACCCTGTATTCAGGCTGATCTTGTCTTCTGGCACGGGACTCCGTGGGTATGGTTCTGTTCCACTGGTGGCTCGGACGTTCCAGACGATGCCGAGCTGGGGAACACGTCATTCAAGTTGCTGCCCAATGAGAGAGACCTATCCAATTGGCTGGAGAATATGGTACATGAGGTTTGCACAGTATCCAGCTGGGGACTGCTGATCCGGAAATCAGGTCAAGATCAGAAGCCGGGAGACGTGTCCATCAGAACCTGTCGTGCGTCCTCCTCATGGCGCCTCATGGTTATCTAGTAGGGGTTAGTTCATCGGTGGAGTTTCCCATGTATGGCCGAACGAATCGAGGCGCTAATACCCACACATGCCAGAGCTGTCGGACAGGCGCCAAAGGAAGAAATCAAAACCCGATGTGTGTAAGTGAGTTCGCCAGAATGCGGCGAATTTTCATGTGTCTCGACATCGAACGACGGATGGGGATACAAGTGCCATTTTACTCATATCTCCATATTTTCAACTATAGCCTAGGGACACTCGCAAACATGTCCCGGGGACAGACATAACTAGTACACTGGGTGCAATGGGAGGGTTCAGCCAACGGCAGGGGAGGGGGGGGATTGCAAAAGAAACTGGTTGACTTGAACATCCACTCCTCGTAGCGGGGACCTCTTCTTCCATGCGGTCGCCGCGGGACGGTGAGTCACTGGAAGCCAGCCAAGCACAGTGCACTCTGCCATGTGAATCAACAAACAGCTTCTCCCATGTCGCTGGCCATTCGGCACGCAACCGAATGCCATCAAATCCAGCCGGCCATGATGCACTTCCGGAAATCAGTGTCTGATAGCAAGGGCCATTGTCCTTGCCGGCGCCTGAGCAACTGTCTCCTGGGAAAAGGACTGGAAATAGGGACTTCCTGTATTGCTGTCCCGCCAGCCGGGTTTGCTCTTCGACCGACATGGGGAGAACACGTGGCCTTGCCAATCTCATTATAAGTTGGTGAGATGTACTGTCTCAGTTCGTTCGTCTCATCTTTCCAGCACGTCACATCCACTTGCAACGAACTGAAATGCCGGCAGTTAGAAGTTCCCGCCATCAACACAGCCAGGAAACGGTGTCGCCCTTGGCGGCGGTAACACTTTCCGCGGAGGACGTGAGAAGCACAAGGGCGACGTTGATAGCAGTTGTCAAGAAAACGCTCGGCATCGAAGATGCCAGCGAGCCACGCTCAGACGTGGATGCCTTGGCAGCAAAGGTGGGGGTGATCAAGGCAATCGGCCTCAGCAACACCAAATTTTCGCTGAAGACGAAGGCCATGAAGACGGCTTTCCTTCTCGCAATGTTGGCCAACCAAGAGGACGATTTTCCGACTTTTCCAGAGGACGCAGAGGTTGAGGGGTTCATGCAAGAGTGCAGAGATGCGATTTTCCCAGGATTCAGGCCTGGGACGTACAACGGCAAACCCCATGAGCCGATGGAAGAGGATAACTTCGAAAGGCTCGAGAGAGGCGAGGATAGAGAGGCGCAGAAAGAATACGACCGCGAGGTCAGGAGGAGGTATGCATTCAAGTCTAGGCAAAAGCAGAAGGGTGAGTTTGTTCAGGTAGCTGCTGCATAACGCTGACCGTCTTGCAGTGTTGGGGGACACCATGGCCGGTCCTTGGCCCATGCGGAGTCGATTCTGATGTGGAGTAACAAACAGCTGTATTTGGCTCGAAAAGACCTCTCAGCATTACGAGAAAAGTGCGCTCAGCTGACTGACCAGCTGAACATGGCAAACCGCGTCATCGAGATCAAGCAAGCCCATATTGCCGCTAGCCAGACACCCAACACCGTCCATCCTGTATGGACCAACGAAAACACACTTTATGACGGATCAAATGCATTATCAGAGGGTCATTGGTGGATTGCTGGAGGTCTGACCATAACAACGTGAGCAGGGTCATCCCTTGCCTACACCCACTGACTATTCAGCAGGCTGCACAGCAAGATCAACCGCAGCACATCGATCCGCTCATCTATCATGGCTCCAACATCCAGGAACTTGATGGGAGGAGCGTCCATGTCGACAGAGCAAGGCGTGGGTTGGCCGGAGCACACCCTCACACGGCGTCAATGGATATCCGCAACACTGGGATTGACTCCTCAAGTCAGCCCATCCGAATTCAACCGTCATTCGGAAGTACATCGACGGCCCTGCACCCTAGCACATCGATCTCCAACCAAGAGCACCAGCAGCCTCTGGGGTTCGGTCTCGATTCGTTGTGGCCTAGAGGCATCCCTGAGGCGAATGGTACCACGCCCGGAGATGAAGATATGTGGCCGGAGTGGAATGAGACGTTTGAACGCCTCATGGACCAAATTCCCGATCTTCAGGATGAGGAATTCGAGGGTATCTTGAGTTCGTAGGTAGCAGAGCTGTAGTCGCATTGACAATTGATCATTGTTTGTTGACGTTGAATCCTCGAAGAAAACCAGGCAGTCCGCAGCGCCATGAGAATGCTGAGACTCGCAAAGCGATGGTGAAAGTCAAGCAGTGGGGTCAGAGACGACGTCCTCAACGTCGAGTTGAGGTTGCTGCCAGCGACCTGTGCCAGTACTTGTTCGCATGCTGATCGGAAGCAGATAAACCCGTTTATTGCCGGGATTCGGACAGGGTCAAATGTACATACAGTACGTTCTCCCTGTGCCGTATTCCGGACAAACCCCATTCGGTTAGTGGAGGAGTATGGCGGGTAGAGGTAACCGTATCCAGAGGCAAGAGGACCAGCACGTGTGTTAGGCCTGCCTATCCCACACTCGCGGTTCATAGACCAAGCACTCATATCCAATTGAGTCAAGTGTAGAACAGAATGGGGAGCAATGGTGAATAGGATATATCAGTACAGATCTTGAAATGGAATAACATTGAGTTTTGCTCGTTCAGGGGAAGGGAAGAACTTCGGCTCCGAAGCTAGGGTTTTTGACGAAGCCAATCTACGCAATCAACCCCTCCTCTGTCCTCTCAACATCATTTTACCCTTTTACGCATTTGTGTTTGGTATGGCATTGCATATAAGGAACTAAATGAAGATCGTCAAGCCGCGAAGAGTGATGCGCGCAGATGAGAAGAAGAAACGTCTGTCCACCTTCTCGCTGCATGTTCACGGCGATGGCTCACGGCTAGTCACCTTACTCGGTGCGTCTACCTCTGCGTAATCTCATTCACACGTCCTTATGTACAAGGCAGAGGCTCGAAGGACGAAAACGGGGCACTATGGTGATGCCAAACGAATACAATACGATGCACAAGCCGTTCTCCACGCTAGCAATGCGTGTTGGGATGGTGCTCTGCGTGGATCGCCTTCTGACCGGATGATGGGCTGAAGGGAAATGATCTTTCTGGAGCAGGTAAAGTGCTTCGCAGAGAGGAGATGCATGTCGAGGGTGGCGAAAGCGCTGCGCCAGCAGGCCATGAGATTGATGTGAGTGACGTGGTGCCTGCATCCTTTTGTTATCTTAGTTAAACTGATCTCTAATTCGACGATAGGACTGATTGGGCATGCAAACGCATCGTGAGGCAGCCTTCGAGCTGTCACTAGCCTCCACCTTCCAGGCTTTCATGGTCGCGTGATGGTGCCCACATAATTGCTATGAACGCAATGAATTACCCTGTGGTTGTTGCTGCTGCCTATAACGGGTACTCGCGATGATGTGCGATGATGTACATTAGTATTGTATGAGGAGAAATTCAGGCAATAAAAGTGAATCGCAACCGAGCCTTGCGCAACTTCCCATCCTTCGCTGGATGGACGAGACCAATCGACAGGCATCGATTTCAGTCAAGCCGTGCTTATGTATGATACGCGGGTGGTGGGTTAAGGTGACGTGGTAAGAGAGTGGTCGAAGACCTTGAACAATGTTTGCGGTGTCAGCAGCATTCGTATTCTCCTATATTGGTGGCGATATCATGACAAAGAAGAGCATATTCAAGTGCAATGTCGATATCGTACACACAACACTTCGAATTGGTCATTGTTGAAGAACAAAAAAGCGCCCAAAAAGCACCGCCAAACAAAACCCTTGCGGATGCAATCGTAGCACCACCTCCCTCTGCTTCCGTTCCCTCACCTCACGTGCCCTCCAAAAATCTCTGTACTACGTCCTACAACGAGCTCGGCCTCCTCACCTCGACTTCAAGACCTCAAGACACACGATGCCGGTGAGTTATTTCCTTTGACGGCGAGGGCTGGGTGGTGCTGGGGATGTTTAGGCATGGGTTTGCGGTTAGGAGGAGGGCGGCAGAGGGTGGATGCGTGTGGAGAGGGTTGGATGGCGTTCCTTACCTTGCTGCGACAATGAGACGGACGGATGGATGGGCAGTCCGCAGCCAGACGGCCCCAGCTCCACCCCATGTAGAGGCGATTTGGTATTATGATGTACTGACAGTCATGCAGGATCCCTCTACTTTCAAGAAGTTCGTCGAGGTTGGGCGTGGTACGTCGTGTATAAGCTGCAGAAGGTGGATAGTGCTGATGGACCTCTGGTTCAGTCGTCCTCCTCAACCAGGGCCCTTCTGCGGGTCACATCGCCGTTATCGTCGAGATCATTGACCATAACCGGGTGCGTTCGTGTCCTTGGTGGAGTGCGGTGGACTGATCGGATTGGTGAATAGGCGATGATTGACGGTCCTTCCACTGGTGTACCCCGCCAACCGTATCCTTATCGCCATCTTACGCTCACGCACTTTGTCGTCCCCGCTCTGCCGCGTGGTGCCGGGACGGGGGTCGTGCAGAAGAAGTTCGAGAAGAGCGGGATTGCTGAGAAGTGCGTTATTTCGCCAGGTGTTCAAGTGAAGCAGATACTAATGTTTTTATGTGTAGGTGGGCAGTATCATCCTGGGCTAAACGGCGCGAGGCGCTCCAGAAACGTCGGGCGTTGAACGACTTTCAGCGTTTCGAGATCATGGTGCTCAAGAAGCAGCGGAGGGACGCCGTTCGCAAGTCGCTCAAGAGTGCGAGCGCATGAGCGGTATCCGGACTGCGCTTCATCTTGGGGCCTGGGGTGGTCTTAGATGGTGGATGTCGTGTGGGGATTGGTGTTTGGATTCGTGGGGAGTTGTTTACCCAAAACATATTGTTAGCATGATATGTGCAATATGAACTGCATGCCTACATCAATCTTTGTTCCAGAGTTAAGGAGTGTATTTCGATGCTGGAAAGTAGTTCGGGTGCTTGGGTGACTCGGCCTTACCCGATGCGATGGCGCAAGTTGGTCCCTGAGTTAAATAAAACTGTCCCTTACGTGTGGTTATTGAGCACCACGTTGATACGATATTGCAACACTTTTCTCTTTGGCCTGACTCGTCCCGGTTACTACGGATTATTACTAGATTTACTATTCGTCCTCTGCTTTTCTATCTTGCTTTCTTGTCCACTCTTCTATACCTCTAGCGACAAAAATGGATCTTTCCACCACCCCAACTCCTCCAGTAACGTTCCTCGACTCCCCAGAATTCCCCTTGCACCTCCCACACCTGAAGCAGAACCCCCCAGCGTCCCCCAACACTCCATGGGTCATCCAAAAGTTCGGCGGTACAAGCGTAGGCAAATTCGCGGACAAGATAGCCAGTGATATCGTGCCGTACGTCTGCACCTCACACTGTCGTATCAGCTGACCCTTCATCGGTGGTGTGTAGGAGGTACATGTCTACCCACCGCGTAGCGGTCGTCTGTTCCGCTCGATCGGGGTCTACAAAGGCATTGGGAACAACGAATCTCCTACTTCGTGCAGCAAGCGAAGCACTACGCCCAACGCCCACCTCATTGCCCACTACGAGCGTGCCCGGTACGCCGGGGGTCGTGCAAGGCCCGATATTCCAGAACGGAGGGGCGATGAGCGGGTATGCGACACCTACCTCTGAGGGAGGTGAGCGAGGGCGTAGCTTGAGCTTGGCGAGTGGGAGAGGTTTCACCGTCCTCGAGGGGGAAAAAGATAAGGAAAGGGAGGGCACTGCGAGCCCGTCACCTTTCCACCCGGTGAACAGCACTTCTGGGGGAGCGTTCTTCTCTTCCACCTCCCGAGGACGCTCTGCTCCGGACCTCCCAGCCTTTTATAGCACGATCGACCTGCTCCAATCTGAGCATCTGGCTGCTGCGCGCTCTCTCATCTCGGGCGAAGCCCTGCTCCGTGAACTGGAGGAAGAGATCGCGAGGGACTGTGAAGGGCTCAAGATGTTTCTCAGAGCGGCGCAAGTGATAGACGAGATCTCTCCGAGGAGTAAGGATAGTATCGTAGGGGTTGGGGAACGGTTGGCGTGCAAGTTAGTCGCGGCGGCTTTACAGGACCGGGTAAGCAACCACACTTGCTAATTGCACGGAAAAGCGGTTCTAATACTATCGCAGGGCGTGGACGCAGAGTTCGTCTCATTAGAGAATATCGTTCCCTCCTCCCTGCACGAGCTCTCCGACTATGGCGAGCGCACAGTGCGTCTCGAACAGCCGTTCTACGACGCGGTGGCCTCTGCCGTTGCCGAGCGCATATCCCAGTGCGGGCGGCGCGTGCCTGTCGTGACCGGATTCTTCGGCCCAGTACCTAACAGCCTTCTCACCCAGATCGGCCGGGGCTATACCGACCTCCTTGCTGCTCTCCTCGCGGCTGGGCTGCACCCCGAGACGTCGGAGCTCCAAATTTGGAAAGAAGTCGATGGGATATTCACCGCCGACCCGCGGAAAGTCCCCACCGCGAGGCTGTTGGAAGTCATCTACCCCGAAGAAGCCAAGGAGCTCACGTACTACGGAAGCGAGGTCGTCCACCCCTTCGTGATGGACCAAGTGATGCGTATGGCCATCCCTATCCGGATCAAGAATATCGAGAACCCCCAAGGGTCAGGGACGATCATCTCCCCCTCTCTGCCTTCTCCGCCTAGCAGCCCCGGGGCAGGCGCCCCCCCTGGTGCACCAAGGAGACTCCCGACAGCAGTCACGATAAAAGACAACATCATCATCCTGAACGTGGCCTCCACGGGGCGAAAGACGTCCACGCACGGGTTCCTAGCGAGCATATTTGGGATCCTCGACCGTTGGGGGGTGACCGTTGACCTAGTCTCCACCTCTGAGGTACACGTATCCATGGCCCTGGAGGATTTTACCGCCGGCTCTGGGGGAAAACGCATGCGCGATCGACTGGTGCACGAACTGAGCAAGATAGGCCACGTCACCCTCTCCCCAGGGATGGCGATCCTCTCGCTCGTGGGGAGCCAAATGCGGCACATGGTCGGTATCTCCGGGCGGATGTTCACCACTCTCGCCGAGGGGAATATTAACATTGAGATGATCAGTCAGGGCGCGAACGAGATTAACATCTCGTGTGTTATCGATGGAAGGGAAGCGGTCAAGGCCCTGAATTTGATACATATGAGCTGTTTGCAGGTCAAGCCTGATGGGCCGAAGGGAAGGGGTGAGTCTAGCGTACAGTATTTCTGCTGAAGGGGAACTAAGGAGTACCAGTAGGCCCGTGGCTTTACTAGCCAACAAAAGGAACTGGAACCAAACCAACTGCTCAACCCACTGCCCCACTTACGGACTGCCCTACCTTCCCTCCTACTACCCCCCACGCCGAACCTCAACACCACACTCAAACAAGGACTCGATCGTATTCTGAAATCCAGGCGTACAGCGCTAACCTATGCTACTCTACTCGTAGGAAGGATACCAAGCATAGCATAGTATAGCGAAGAATGATAATAAACATACATATGACCCGCTGACCCCCTCGCCAACTGCCGCGATGTCTCTCCCCTCTTCGCACAACACAAATCCAACCTGGTTTCCCGGGTGGTAGCCATCCATCACGCCAGCATAAGAGACGCCCCAAGAGGGTGGAGGCTAGTGACAGCTAGGAAAAGCTGCGTCACGATGCGCTTGCATGTCTAATCGGTCTTGTCGTCCAATTAGATTTCAGTTTCACTCAGATCATAAAGGGATGCAGGCACCACGTCGCTCTCGTCAATCTCGTGGCCCGCTGGCGCGGCGTATTCGGGCCTTCGACACGGATCCCCTCCCTGCGAAGCACTTTACCTGCACCAGAAGGATCAAGTTCCCATTTTTATCCAGGCCATCATTAGGTCAGGTAGCAATCCCAGTGTACACGGAGCACCATGCCAACATGAATAGCATGGAGAACAGCTTGCACATCGTATTGTGATTGTTCAGTGTTACCATAGTGGTCCGTTTTCGTCCTTCGAGCCTCTGGCTTATACATCAGGACGTGTAAATGAGATTACGCAGATGTAGACGCACCGAGTAAGGTGACTAGCCGTGAGCCATCGCCGTGAACATGTAGCGAGAAGACGGGCAGACGTTTCTTCGTCTCGTCACCCTTCCGGCTTGATGGAGCCAACGCGCTTCGGAGCCGAGGTTCTTCCGTTGCCCTGAACGAGCAAAACGCAAAGTCCGTTCATGTTATTCCATTTCAAGGAGATATATCCTATTCACCTTTGTCCACCGACCTGCTCTACGCTTTGACTCAATTGGCTCTGAGTGCTTGTTCTGTGAGAAGCGAATGTGGGATAGGCAGGCCTAACATCCGTGCTGGTCCTCATGTCTCAGCTTATACTGTTACCTCTACCCGCTATACCTCCTCCACCGAGCGAATGGGGTTTGTCCAGAATACGGCACAAGGAGAAGGTTGTCCGAATGTCGGCAACAAACGGGTTTATCTGCTTCCGACCCGCATGCGAATAAGTACTGTCGCTGCCAGCAAGTTCAACTCAATGTTCAGGACGTCGTCTCTGACCCCACTGCTTGACTTTCACCATCTCTTTGCGAGTCTCAGCATCATCTCAGAGTTGTGGACTGCTTGTTCTTCTTCGATGCTTTAGAGTCAACGAACAATGATCAATCGTCAACGCGATTACACCTCTGTTATCTACGAACTCAAGACACCGTCGAATTCCTCATCTTGAAGGCAGGAATTTGGTCCATGAAGTGTTGAAACACTTCATTCCAGTGCTGCCACATATCTTCATCTCCCGGCGTCGTATCGTTCGCCTCAGGGAGGGATCTCTCTGTGCCACAACTCATCAAGACCGAACCCCAGAGGCTGCGGGTACGGTTCTTTGGAGGTGGATGTGCTGGGATGCAGGGCCGTTGTATTCCTCCTGTGCCCCTCTGTCCTCGCCTCTCTTAAGCCTTTCCCGCATGTGCTGGGGCATCGGCTCGTGCGGTTTGCCGTTGTAGGTTCCCGGCCTGAACCCTGGCAGGGCCGCCTTCATGCAATCTTCGACGAAAGCTGTGACCTCTTCTTACCCTGCAACCTTGGGGAAATCGATCGCTTGGTTCGCCAACAGTGCCAGCGAAGAAGCAAGTTTCATCGCTGGAGTCTTCAGGCTCATCATGCCGCTGCCGACGTCTATGGCCCGGATCGCTGTCACCTTTGCTGCCAGGGGATCGTCGTGCGAGCGTGGCCCGTTGGTGTCTGTGTCGACGGCGAGAGCATCTGCCAACAAAGCTCTGAGCGTCGCAAGGCCAATTCGTGTCTCCTCTGCCCTGCTCGTCCTGACTGCAGCCAACGGTGACACTGATTCGCGTCTGTTTCGACGGTCCGACCTAACTGGAGCCATATTGATGAGTTGAGTTGAATGGCAGCGTAACACCAGTGGAAGATGAGATGAACAAAGTGAGTAATTTTGTTGGCCCGACCTCCCCGCTACGAGGACTAGATCTTTAAATCAACGTTAGGACCAGTTTCTGTTGCAATCCCTGGCATTGGCTGAACCATCCCATCGCACCCATTGTACTAGTTATTCTGTCCCTGGGACAATCTTGCGACTGTGCCTAGGCTACAGTTGAAAATATGGAAATAGAGTCGCTGTCGTTCAATCCCGACACACATGAAAATTCGCCGCATTCTAACGAACTCACTTACACACATCCTGTTTCGTTCTATGTCGGAGATCTGTGGTAAAGTGGTAATCCGGCAACGTAGAATTTTCGCGTTCCGTCCTGTACATAGTCCGTGCTGCATGCACCCTAATCCATACCGTCTTTCCCTCCTCCCACCATGACACTAACAATCTCTTCCTTTGGTGCCTGTCTGACAGCTCTGGCATGTGTGGGAATTGGTACCTCAATTCATTCGGTCATGCATGTGAAACTCCACCAATGAACTAACCCCTACTAGATAATGATCAAGCACCATATGAGGACGCATGGCAGGCTCTGATGGACACGTCTCCCGGCTTCTGAACTTGACCGCTGGTTTCTGGATCGGCACTCTCCAGCTGGCGGCCATGCAGCTCTAGCAAACCTCATGTACCATATTCTTGAGCCGATTGGACAGGTCTCTCTATGAAAGAACATTCGAAGACTCAGCCAGCAGCAATATGAAGGACGCGTTCCCGTGGACACGCCGGCATCGTCATGGGGGTGCTGAGGCGTCTAAGCCCTCGGTCCTACAGAACCATACCCAGGGGCTGCCAAGCCAGAAGACAAGATCAGCCCGAATGCAGGGTGCAAAACAAACGAAGTTCATAATAGTGTACACGCCTTCGGCGCTAGATATCCACGGATATTCCAGTCATCATAGGAAAGAACGCTGCCTCCGTTTCCTATCCCCCTCTCCACGTCCCGCTGTTCTCCGGCATTATCGTCACCCGAGTCTAGTAGGCCAAGCACAGGGTCAGAAAGCATGACTAACGCGAGGTCGCCGCACTCACCCCCGTTCTCAAGATCGATATTGTACGCGTAAACGTACCCGTCCGAAGAAATACCCATCACTTGCATCATGCGGCTGTGCGTACGTAAGCGAAAAAGTGCCGAATATGGACTCCCCGCCCCACGGGCAGAATGTCCGCGAGAAAGAGAGAAAACACACCCAGACAGCGCAACGACGCACCTCCCAGTCCCGCCTGGAAGCTTCAAGTACTCCCACATCTCTGATACGTGGGTCGGAATTGGCGACATACCGTCTGCTTGAGAATGACGCACGGAGATTGGGAAAGGAGTTACATAGGTTAAGGACAGCGCCCGCTTCCCCCCGCTTCGGGGGATGGAGGGAATTGGGAAAGGAGTTACATAGGTTAAGGACAGCGCCCGCTTCCCCCGCTTCCCGCTCGGGAGTTCTCTTCCTCCCCCAACCGCCTTTCGCTGCTCGCACAATCCTTCCCTCCCCTCACGCACTCAGAAAGCGAGCACATCAAGCACCTGCCTCCCCCCCGCTCTGCGCAAAACAATTATCCGTTCCATATCCAAAAGCACGCCCACCGCATCCGGAAATACGACTTGAGCCACACATTCCGCATACGGTAATTGGGTTTCCACTTTCTGGTCGCCGTTAGCGAAGAGCGTCACTTCCCCGCTCGGGACTGTCACTACCCGGCGGACGACACCGGTAGGGGCGTCTTCTAGGGGGTCGACGCCTTCGAGTAGCTCTTTACGCAGCGCGACGGGGTTGAAGTCTAGTACTCTGACAACGCACGCTCCGACATGCGGGCCGAGAGCGGCAGGGACCCGGTCGTAGGTTACGTATCTGTACCCGGCGACGTAGCAGACGTGCGAGACAGGGTGACGTTCTTGGATCAGCCGGGTTTGGGAGGCCCAGGAGGACCAGGGGATGATGGTGTGTTTTGGGGGTTGGGGAGGGGGTGGGGGCGGGCGGTGGGGGTGGGCGGAGTGGGCGGGGTGAGCAGAGTGGGCGGGGTGAGCAGAGTGCGCGGCGCTACTGACAGGAGGGTAGGCGGGGACCGACGGCCCAGACGTCCGCTCTTCCGGGTGGTAGCCATCGTATGGGTAGGGATACGGATACGCACTAGCCGGGTAAGCCGCCCCCGCCGGCAGGGGGAGCGTACCACCACCACCACCACCAGCAGCAGCAGCAGCAGCAGCAGAAACAGACCCAGGCCCACCCTTCCCCAACATCAAAAGGCTCAACCCATCCATCCCAACCCCGAGCGTGCCAAGCCCTAGGGTATCCTCCATCTCCCGAGCCAAAGACCGTCCCATTGCTCGTACGTCCCTGTTTGCGTCCCCGTCTTCGTGCTCGTCCATATCTCGGTCTTGATCTTGGTCTTCCAAATCCGTCCCTTTCATCCCCATTCTCAGGTTTACCAGGTTTGGCTCGTCCAAGGAGGGGCGCGTCAGCCCCCGTTTTGCGCTCTCCAGCTCTCTCTCCATCTCCCACCTCCCCCTCTCCGCCTCC